TGCCTATCGCTTGCCTTGCCAGCCTTCCTGCCGTACTTTGATTTGGCTTTGGCCTTACCTGTAGGTGCCTTGGATGTCGGCTCAACTTGGACAGAGGAGTGGTCTGTGTCCAAAGGCTGTGGCTCAGTGGTTTCTGCCATATCAATCAAGATGCACCCCAGAGGCGACTCTGGAACTGACTCATTCTGCAAGGGACGTCAGGAGGCCCCCCTGAAGAGGGACTGACTTCACATGGATTAGCGTGAGCTGGCCCACTAATTAACCTGGCTCACGCCTGGCGCTGAAGCGCTCGTCACCCGGTCAATGTGGTGGCCAGAGGCGAAGTTGGTGACGAAATCACATGTGTCTCACAATAGTGGCAATGGTCAGGATCTTGAAGCAACCACTAGATGCAGAGTGGCAGATATAGGCAATGTGGTGAGCAGGGCCTGAAGGACCGTCGCTTCAACAATGGTTCCACACTCCTGATGATATTAGATGTCTTCAATAGGGATAATGTTCTGAAACACTTAAACTCAATGATAAGGTGAATATAGGTGATTCAAGAGCATATGGAGAAAAAAAAATTCTTTTTCTTTTTTTTAAATATGTTACTATACCAGTTGAACCTTATGCAGAACAAAAGACAGATTCAGAAATTATTTGAACAAGCTCCCAAAAATGGCGTCCTAGCCTGGGTGTTACATGGGCGTTTCCCTGCGTAACTGTGCTTCAAATGGCAGACACCCTGAGCCCCGGTGAGGAAGGAGGAGAAGGAGATTGAGACTCTTAAAACAGTCAAAAAGTACCCAGAAGGTAAGAAAGCAATATTTGAGGCTTTTTTGCAATGTAGAGATCGGTTTGGCAAATCGCGCCTAACAGCTGTTAGGTGTGAAACAGCTCACCGCTGCAAAACGAAGCTTCCTTCTCTTTAGCGGCAGCCGGAGAGCAAACAAAAAAGGCCAGGCAAAATTCCCCCCGTCGCTCACCTCAAACAATCCACTCAGCTGTGCTTCAGCTGTGCTTCAGCTGGAAAAAAACTTCAGAGAAAACTGAGTTCCGTGGATTCAAAATGGTGGCCGTTAAAGGAATCCCTGACCAGGCCCGGTCAGAGAAGAAGCCACGTGGCTTCAAAATGGCAGCCACCAGCCAGAGAACACGTGCGCTCGCTAGTGAAGTGTGAGTACTCAATCCCCTCTGACTATAATGAAGGGAAAACTCCCCCCACTTCTATCTAGTAAAGATTTTGGAACAGCTCAGCAAACTGCTGAATCCAGGGGAAGGAAACCACCACCCCCAATCCTGGAGAGGAATGCTACTGAAGGGAAGGGGAAAAAGGATTCAGATCTCCCAGAGAAGGGAATAATCTCCACTAATTCTCCCAACCTCAAGAAGAATCCACCAATGGATTGATAATATCTAGTCTGATCTGCTATCCAAACGAACTGAGAGTCAAGTTATCACGTCCTCATGGGCGAAAGACCAAGATGAAACTGGGAGGTCCCAGACAAAGAGGGGCGTGACAACTTGACAACTTGGTCTGATTGGGCAGGAGGACTGAAATAACCCATTGGTGCATTCTTCAGTCATCATGCTGGAGAACATCTAGGTCTTCAAGGATTTATTAAATGCCAACAAGATCAGGACCAGGCAAATTAGGGAATATGGTATTCCAAACAGCAAGTATTTTGCAATATTTGAAAACCACATATCTCTGCTCCGTGGTCTCTTCTGAAGGCTAAACCTTAACCCTAAGGCTTAGTTTACAGAGCTTTACTGTCTTGGTAGCTTTGTTCTGAAATGCTCCATTCATCTATCCATCCATCCATCCATCCATCCATCCATCCATCCTTCCATCCACTCATTCATTCTGTACAGCCACTCACTCAATATATGATATTTACTCTGTACAGTAAACAAGTTAAAAACAGCAATAAAACATTAACAAAGAACCCAAAACACCCTTGGATCCATATGCAGTGAGAGTGTGCATATGGGCATTCAGAGCCAAACCTGTTGACAGTTTTTTTTATCCTAGTGGCAAATAAGAGATCAACTGAATTGTGCTGGAGTTTCAAAAATAGCCCATGAGCAAAGACTTTATAGAGAACTCCAAGACAATCAAAAAGGGAACTGACTATGACAAGAGATTAACATTTATTTCCCTCACATGCAGATCACACCACCAGTGCCTAAGACAAAAAATAGATGTATCTGGGTCAGGCCATGATAGTCCTAAATTAACTTGCCACTGGTAATTTTGCACCCAAAGAAGGCAGGTAGAAGTCACTGGGAGTCTCTTGGAAACTACTGCTAGCTTGGTGACAGAATCAAGGAGTACAGGCAAGAAAGCTGCCATGCAGCATGGATGCTGGTGCAGCACTGGCATTCCTTTCTCATCCCTAGAGTCCAATTTCACAAATAAGGTCTCACATCCAGTTATCTGCAGAGCAGAATCTCTGAAAACCACCAGAATCTCCCACATGACTACAGCCATTGCACCACCCCTGGGTGACAACAGTGCCACACTTGAAACACATTTCTAAGAGAGAACCCCAACCCCCATGTCCAACCAGGGAGCAGATACGCAGCATCAACATGGCACCAAAACTACCTCCCCCAAGTGTGAGCTGCCCCTTATCTCCCAACATATTTCTCTCTGTCCGTCATCCTACTATCTTGTTTCAATTTGTCACTTTCCTTTTTGAACAGTGATGTCCAAACCAGACACAGAGCTCCAAGTGGCAGGACAGAGTAGAATGGAATAACTAATTCATGTGAATGACAGTGAGATATTCTTCATTTTGATGTGTTAGTTAGTACACACTTGTGGGTTACTCTATCAGCGGGACTCTTGGTACAATTAAAGCATAACACCAAGATTATTGCTCTCAAAATCTGTGCTGCCAGTTTCCAAGATTTACAGTTAATCCTGTTACAGTCAGTGGGCCCCTAGGCATGCATAAAAAAAAGGAATGCTACATACAACTGATCTTGCCTTGTAGTTGTAACTAAATATTTCATCTATTTTAACCTCAATTACAATAGCTTCAATTCTGCTTTGTTTTATCCTGCTGAAACTTCAGTGTATTGTGTAGGCTTACTAATGCATATCATGTGTGAGACAGTGATACATGCACACTGAACGGTTTATATAACTAAACTCAAGACTAGTTTGTGTTTTTTACATTCAGTAAATATGCAGCAAAAAAAATAGTGGTACTGTATTTTTTATGACTATGAGTAGTGTTTAAAAGCCACTCAAAATACAGACCAAATGATACTATTGAAAAGCAACAGAAATTCAAATCTGGGGCTGTTTAAGAAATGCCCATGAGCCTGCTGGACTTGAGGTCAAGACAGCAGACCTGAAGTTTTCTGAAGTCAGACTTTCCAAAATATAATACTGGTGTTCCAGTTAAACAAGGGAAGCTAGGGGGGGCGGCTTATTAAGTTATGGGAATTGTGAAATAAATAAACTCACAGCTGTCTTGACTGAGAAGGTAAAAAGACTCCTTGGAGTCAAACTCAATGGCAGGTGACATCATGGGCATATCTATGCAGTTTTCTCAGTAACAATATTATCTTCTTCTATGATTTTTTTTTTCATTTTCCACCCTATTTTTGTCTGCCCCAGTATTTCCTGGTGGTTTTTCATCCAAGTATTGACCAGACCTAATTCTGTTTGTTTTTCAAGATCACAGAATGATGGCTAAGTGGTACCCTCTAATTGGATGCTATCTTGGATGTGTATGTGTGCGCACGGGTGTGCTTTGAAGTCAATGTTGGTCCTTGGCAACTGCCTGAACTTGTCCCAGCAATTTTCCTGGCAAGGTTTTTCAGATGTAATTTACCCTAGTCCTAAGGCTGAGAGAGTGACCTGCCCAAGATCACCCAGTTGGCTTTGTGCCTAGAACTCACCATCTTCTGACTTCTTGTCCGGTGCCTTAACCATTATACCAAACTGTCTCCAAATTTAAATGACCAACTTCTTTATTTTCTCCTTCCATTCTCTTGCCACAGAATTCTCTGATCTCTACTTCATTCCTTCAATTAAAACACCCACTAAGGCAGGGGTCCCCAACCCCCAGTCCATGGACCAGTAGTGGGCCGTGGCATGCCAGCAACCGGTCTGCACAAACAAGCAAAGCCCCATCCATGGGATGCAGGCAGCCCACAAAACCACACCCCCTCTGGTCTGCGGAAAAACCTCTCTCCACAGAACCGGTCCCTGGTGCCCAAAAGGTTGGGGACCTAAGGAATAAAAATCTCAACATTATTTCTCGCCTAAGGAACATCAACCAATCCATTTCAACCATTAGGACCCAAACCTGACTACTGTCTAACAACTGCAAAAGCATGTGAAATGACCTTAACTGATGGCACTTTTTATTCTGCATCAGAGGCAACATTAGCTCGTGCACTCCGTTGTGTTCTTTTGAGTAAGATACAAACATCAGAACTGTGCAAAGAAGTAAAAAATCCAATTTGATTGTAAATTTGAACAAAATAACACTACACCTAGTATGATTTGGAAATGATGTCTCTTCCATGCACAAGTATGTACAGGAGAAGACTCCTCGTTTCTAATAACTATAGTTATTTCTAGTAACTAATTATCCTCCTTTCTAATAATATTCCAAACGGACTTTTTTGCACGGCGTGTTAAAAATTTTTCCTCCCGTTCAATCGTGTCAGCATTTGAAACATGCCACGTGTTTCCGGGGAAAGACTGCCGTTTCTGTGCAGCCTTTTCCATCCAAATCTACAATCTTTCTGGTCGACTTCATAGAAGGAACTTTTCCACCAGGATCACCCTACATATAAAAACAGCCATATCTAGGCCAAATCCAACAACTGCTTACAAAAGGCTTTTGGAAATGTGAACAACGCCTCCGGCCAAGGCCGATCCAGCTCTTCCCCACATCTCTTCTGGCCGGCCTTTCTGCCTCGACCCCCCCCCCCGGAGGAGGCGGGGAACTTAACCTCGCCACCCCCTGAGGGAGGGCGCTCACCTGTCCCCCGAGGAGGCGAAAGAGGCGGCGACCACATCTCGAAGTCCTCCAGAAAGTTTCTACTGTACAGGAAAACAAAACAAAAAAAGCAAAAGCAAAACGAGGTCCCCGCCCTGGCCAGTCGCGGCGGAGAACGAGCAGTTTTCCTAGAAGGAACCAGAAAATCCGGAAATTGTGCAAGTACTTGCGAGAAGGGGGGAGCCTTTGCAATCCCCCCCTCCCGCCGGAGGAACATCCATTCCTTTCCTCCTCCGGCCCTCCCGGGCGAGCTGGGGACGAGGAGCCAGACAGGCGTCTGCGAAGGGGCCGAGCAGCTGGAATTTGGCCTCGGAAAGGGCGCCGGTGGCAACGAAGGGCGCGCCAGTCCCCTCCCACGAAAAGCGGGGCAGGAGAGGAGACCGTCGGCGAGCCTTCCTTTTCTTTCGGGGTTATTCCCCGTCTCTTCTTCCTAACTTTTTTTTTTTTTGGTTTTGGAGCAAGTTGAAAGGCGTCTGGCCCTCCCCCCCCCTTCGCAGCCGAGGCGGCGGTGGTGGGGAGGTCGCGGTGCGCCTCAGGAGCCGGCTCTTTGGGCAAACTTAGTTTTTGTCAAGGGTGCGTGATTTATTTATTTTTAATTTATTTTTGGAGTGGGAGACAGAACCTCGAAGTGGGGCAGCTGCTCTGGAGCACTTCGCCTCCGCTGGTTTGGTTTCCTCCTCCCCACCTGATGGGCAAAAGCCTCCCATGGCTCTGAGCAAAGGGCTGAGGCTGCTGTGGAAGCAGGAACCCACTCCGAGCGCCCTACTGGAGGCCCGCGGCCGCCAGGACTGCCTGCTGCTGGAAGCCGGCACGATAGCCACCCTCAGTAAGTACCTCGCACCAAGGGTCCATATGTGTGTGTGTGTAGGTGTGCCCGCGTGGTTTTCTGGACCCAACCACCCCTACAGTTGCTTTGCCTGGCACGGCAACTTCGAAGGAAGAAGGCGAGGTCTTACAGACCAGTGGTCCACCCTGTCTGCCTTCCGGTTTCCAAGAGGGCCAACCGTGACAGAAGGGTTTGGTTGATTGATTGATAAATCAAATCAGTGTCTGCTCTTAGCGACCATATGGGTGGGCTTCTTCCAGCATGCTCCGTTCAACCTGGCCTTTTCCATCTCTTGAGTGGCGCTTGCTTTGCTGCTGGTCCTCTTCTTCTTTTTCCTTCCATTTTTGCCAACATTATGGACTTCTCAAGGGAGATGGGCCTTTGCACAATGTGAGCAAACAAGAGTTTGAGCTTGGTCAGTTGTGTCTTGTATCAGAACTCTGGTTTGATTTACTCTTGTGATTTTTTTATTTTTTATTTTTATTTTTGTCTTTCTTGGTTGTCCATGGTCAGCTAAAAATCCTCTCCAATACCAACTTTCAAAATAGCAGTTTTCTTTCTGTCTTGCTTCAGTCCAGTTTTCACATCCACCCAATGTTGCACTGCCTGTGCGATTTAATGTTTGTAGGTATAGATGTGCATTTGACTTATTTATGCAAGGCTTTTGTTTCTCTACCAAGTGCTGGTCTGTTGCTCATTTCTTTCTTTTTATAAATTAATTGTCGGATATTTCTTGGCTGCTAGTTCCTGAACTTTTGATAGTCAATTCTAAAAGGCAAAATTTATCTACCCCTTTCAGTGCCCCCCTGTTGTCATTAGTTTGATCTTCTTTATATTTAATCATAGTCCCATTTTTTCATTGCTTTCATTACAGTAGGATATGAAAGTATAATTTCCATTATTATCAGAAACTTAATTGATTCTTGATTCAATCGTCACTGATTTGGGAGGTTCTGTCAGTTGTATTTTTGGGTAATAGTTGGTGGCTAGTAGTTGTGGCCAGTAGTTGGTGGCCATTTCCTTTTCAAACCATGTAAGCCAATGATTACAATCATATCTTATAACAGGAGGAAAGGCTCAATACCTTTCAAGAACGAACAAGAACATATTTCTTCCTCCAGTTTCAGCAATGGTACACAGATAAGTTTGCAAGTTCAGGAAATCTCATATGTACTCTTTCATGGAGTAGTCAACATTAGAAAATTAAATAACCAGTGTTTCAGGACAAACAGTATCAGTAGCTTGAGGCATCCACATTTCTTAATGAATAACATCCTTGCCATCATACATTTTATTAATTACCAAAATTGTTTCACAATCCATAAAACAATAAGGTTAGATAGGTGTGAATTTAATATAACAAGCGGCAGCTTGTCTTCAGAAATTCATTTGCACTATCCTCCCTACAACAATATGAGAGATACTGTAGATGCTTTTGCTCAATAATACCTCAGTGTCACCCCTTCATGCCTGTCTCCCCTTCACAGGGTCCTCTTTGATTCAACTGATTGTTGAAAATGAGGTCAATAAAACAAGCAATTAAAACTCTATGAAGCCCACTTACAGCCAGGTGCTAGATAATTCTCTCCTCACTCACTCTACAGTTTTGGCCTAAGGCAAAACAATGCAAAGCAACACCTCCAGATTTTCATATGTATGGTAAGCAATTAAAATATCAGAATATTACATGATACACGAATTGCAAAAATTGCTATAATCAAAATGTCATAAACATCTTGGCATGCATAACTTTTACTCTAATAATGAATAAATAAGATATCGATGATCTATTTATTTTATCCACAAAGCATATATTATTTATATTTTAAAAATTGATAAGAGATTGAGAACATAAGAAAAGTTATGTTAGATTGAAAGCCTATTTATTCCAGCCTCCAGCACCCACAATAACCATCTAGATGCCCCTCACTGCATGCTTTAATGTCTCTTGCATGTGTTCCCCAGCAAACTGGGGCTCAAGATACTTCTTAAAATACTTTTTTTTTCTTTGTCCTTCTCTTCCCTTTCTTGAATCTATCATGCTTCACTCTGGAGTCCCTCAAGAATTAGACTCCAATCTTGACTTGCAGCATCATGGGGGGAGGGGTGTGGAGAGGAAGGGGCAGTTATCAAAAAAGTAATGTTGGTAGCAAGTTCAAAACACCGCTCCCTTTGTACACACAAAAGGGTAGGGCAGGCATCGCTCCCTCATATGATGAGGTAGGACTTCAATCTTGTTGCTATGATCGCTATCTTGACTCTGTCCCACTTCCTGCGGACACCACTGATCTGCTTCATTATTATTGCCTTCCTGATCTACTGAAGTTTAGTGTACTATGTTTATTTAGAGACATTAAGCTTTAAAAAGTATCTGAATATTTAGACATTCTTGCTTTGCTACATCTTGGAAGTTTTAAGATGATTTAAACTTCAATAATATAGTTCTATGCATATCTATTTAGAAATGAGCCTATCAGGAAAGTTGAATTCTAATCTGTCCTAACCTTCCTTTGCTAACATGAAGTAATTTTACAATTACAGTCCTATAATGAGGTGTAATTTGTCATCTGCAACTAACAGTCAGATAAGGAAATTCCAAATCTCCTTGGGCAGGACTTGTAACTATAGCATGTGTTTTCCCATCAAGCAAAACCTATGTGAAAAGGTTATTATAGAATTAATTTAGAGCACAAAAATAACTTTTTGACTTACTGGATAAACAGGAACATCCACCTTCAGTGGTGCTATGCTGCAAGGTATGAAAAAATTATGATGAATACATATTTTTTTAAAAAAAATACTTATACCATATTTCTACCTATACTTGTTATTTACTTCCTAGTATGATCTGATGCCTGAAGCCAAGGTCTGCTTCTGGCTTGATTAGATCCAGCACTTAGCTGATTGCTTCTCCCTTCTCTGGAGAACTAACTGAAGTTCTCAAAAGATTAAAAATTCTTCCACCTTGTGCAAGATGTGTCATTTAGCCACATGCTAAAGGAAACATCTCTCATCAGGAAAGCCTGGTTCAGATCTGGAGTTGTTCTTGAGAATGCCAGATAGCCTCATGTCAGAAATTTCTTTACTACCCCTGAAACTGTTATAACCAGCGCATTAATGAGCATCAAGCTTTTGTCTATTAACTGTAATCATATGAATTTTGCTTTGTTTAAAATGTATTTGCATTTACTCTTTCATTATTTAAATCTTGGTGTTTGTCTTGTTGGTAGCATATACCAGTTATGGCGAACATTTAGAGACTGAGTGCCCAAACTGCAACCCAAAACCCACTTATGCATCGTCAAGTGCTGGGTGGGTGTGGTCGATTGGTTGGGTGTGGCCAATTGGGTGGGCATGGCCAATTGGGTGGGCGTGGCTGCAGTGATAACGGCAGACTGGATGGGACTAAAAAGTTCAATCAATCAATTGCAACTTTGCAAGATCTCTTTTTTTCCACGAGAAGTTGAAATTGACTGATTGAACCTTTTTTTTTTTTTTTTTGCACATGGCGGCAGAGGCCTAAAGTGAAAAGGTTTTATAAAACCCAGCTGAAGGCCTAGGATTGGGGCGATGGCGCGCGTGCCCACAGAGAGGGCTCTGAGTGCCACCTCTGGCACCCGTGCCATAGGTCCGCCACCACTGGCATATACTTTTCTTTCTGCAACCACTGTCACGTTGTGTTAAATATATTTCTGTTTGCTAATGCAGACTAGGAGAATGAACTTTGGACTCTTAATCCCTTTTCTTCATTAGTTGTGAAATGGCAACCTTCGAAAATTACTTACATTCTTAAACTTTGTTTACATTTCTCTAAGTCATCTTATTTGTATAGTTCCACTGTGGCCTGTGGCAACAATAATTTCTTTGTCTAATGAAGAATTAAATAACTTGATTGTGTGATATCAATGTATGTCTGTTGAGTGCACTTTCACAAATATTGAAACCTTGCACAGAATTAAACAATTTATTCTATGAACTTTGTATTATCTAGAAAGTCCTATTTTACAGAAAATTCCTTGCTATTCATTATGTTTTGCAGAATTTTTAAAAACTAGGATACATTTATCACAATGAAAGCTCAATTTATTGGACCATGGTGTAATGAACTTTGGATACAACAGAACAATTTCCCCCCACAATTTAACATCATTTATGTAAAGATGTAATGCAGAAACGGTGTGATGTTATCTACAATGAGGTCATCATGCTAATGATATCATTTGTGTCATTCCAAAAATGACATAAGTCATAATCTTCTACTTTTATATATAGTGAACTTTTATGAATAACAGACTCTCTTTCTCCCCCCCACTTCAAAATAGGGGCCCACTAGCATTAGCTCTTTATTAAGTCTATAGCTAATCTATCTTCCTAGTGACCCTGGTTAACACTTAAAATAAGTAAGCAATTGGCAGAAATTAACAAAATACTATAATAGAATAGCAGAAGGGACCTTGGAGGTCTTCCAGTCCAATCCCCTGCTCAAGAGGCTGTTTAGTCTCTTCTTAAAGGCCTCCAATGATGCAGCACCCACAACTTCTGAATGCAAGCCATTCCACTGATTAATTGTTCTCACTGTTAGGATAATCTTAATTGTCTCTTAACAAATAAAAGAATTCATCTGCTTGGTACTTGGATGGGAGACTTAGGAAATCTAAGTGCCATAAAAATATTCTAGGCAATTAGAAAAATATCCCCAAAAAAGCCTTTGATAAAACTAATCCATTTTATTGTCCAAGTAGTCTCCTGGAATTGGGTTTAAGTCAAGGGAGTTAACGTTTAACTTTTTATATCCTTTAATGTAATTATTGCCTCTCTAGCATGACTCCCTGATTTTTTTATTTACCATTAACCTTCAGCTTTTCAACTAGTGAAATTTCACACCTGGAAATTTTGAATAGTTAATGTTCAACAAAATTAATCATTCTATTTATGGCTCTCTTCTCTGTTAAGGTTACCGTTCTCAATATTTCTGTACACTCTTTTCATTCTCCAATTAAATTCCATCCTCTTATCTGTGTCCACAGTTTCTCTGCATTCTTTGAATTCCTAAAATTTAGCTATACTACAAAAATAACTTCAAGTGATGGACACTTTAAGACTGAACTTACACATTGTACTAAGACTTATATGATTTATTTGATTATGTCCTAGGGATACATTTGATGCAGCTTAGTCAGCAAATGGCTTAGTCATGGTTAATATGTTTTGGCTGATATAACATGTTAAAGAAAGTTGATTGCTGTGTGTTTTGCATGTTTTTCTTGTTCTTTATATTTTATTTCTATATAATTTATAAGTTGCTTAGAGCCTTTGGGGAATTGGGTGGCGTATAAGTATCTGTAATAAATACGGTAAGTAAGAGACATTTTAATGTAATAGTTAAGCAACCAGGCTAGAAATCAAGAGACTTTGTAGTCCAACCTTAAGGCCTGGAGCCAGTTGGATGAATTTGGGACAGTCATTCTCTCTCTCAGTGTTAGGAAGAAGACAATGGCAAACCACTTTTGAAAATGTTGCCAAGAAAAATGCAGAGACTTTTCCAGGCAATCCCAAGGAGTCAAAATTGACTCACAGATGTGCAGGCAGGCCAGCCAGCCAGCAAATAAATAAATAATCAACCAACCATAGGCTTCATTTGGTCTCTGGGAATCATTTGGAAGAATTTTTGTTGCTTTAACATCACAAGCTAAATGCAATTCCTTGAAGTGCTAAAAGTTGAGCAGGGCCACTTTGAGGTTTTCCCTAGTCGGTCTGAACTGGTATGTGCAAATCTAGAACTGTCAAGCAAAGCAAAGAGTGTTTCATTTGCATATTGTCACAGTCCAAGCATCTCTTCTATTGATTTGCATAGCCCTAAAAAAATATGCTGATTTTAATTGGTTTATTACATTGCCATAGAGTGGAGCAAGCATTGATGACTTTGTGATTTCCCCAGCATTTGAAGAAAAAGAAGCAATTAAAGGGCAATATGAGAAGCTTATGGATGCTTATGGATGCTTAGGCGAGCTCCAGTTAAAATCTGGTACGTAATCATTTAATTTAATATTGTGCAACAATCAGATCAAAAAGAACCATCAGTAGTACTCATTGATACATTATTACTAATGAAAATGTCAATGTTGTCCTTCGGTAGGTTAAAAGAGAAATGATTATAGGTAGTCCTCAACTTATAACCGTTCATTTAGTGATCGTTCACTTATAGCAGTACTGGGGAAAAAAGTGATGTATGACTATTTTTCACATTTACGACCATAGTCATGTGATTAAAATTTGGGCACTTGGCAACAGGCATGTATTTAAAACAGTTGCACTGTTCCGGGGTCATGCGATCACTTTCTGTGATCTTCCCAGCAGGCTTCCAACAACCCAAATTTGCTAAATGATCGCATGAATCCCTTAACAACTGTGGCAAAAATGGTAGTAAAATGGGGCAAAACTCACTTAACGACTGCTATGCTTAGCAATGGAAATTTTAGGCTCAATTGTGGTTATTAGTCAGGGACTACCAGAGTACAGTATGGAATGATTATTTCAGTTTTTTAAACATTCATCTTACCATGTATTCTAATATAAATTTGAAAATAAGATGTGTTTCACTAAAGTTACTCTAGCTTTTATTTTTGTAACCTACTGCTTTAGCCGGAATAAATTAAAAGGAGATCACACATTGATGGTCTCGCTGCTGTAATATAGCTCCTAGCTTCTAGACTTCTTCATTTATACTTTGTTTTTATAAGCTCTCAAATGTGCATCTTTTGTTTCTGTTAGTGATGTGATAGAAAATAGATGAAAACTCAGCAGGCGGTAAAGGAACACTCTTTGACCAGGAATTATGAAATTCACAGCTTTATAGTCAGAGGTTCCATGTCTGGCAACCCTTTTTCTCAGCATTTTAATGCAACGTGGAAGAAATCTGTATTTTTCCATGTTAGTCCACCATGTTTTTTAAAAACATAAGACCTCTGCACATAAAATATGGCAAAGCTCAAGAACCTCCCTTCTTAGCCAAGAGCCAGCTGCCAGAAGCATTCTTTTTATGTGGCAGGTTTTATTAATTATAGGTCATAGTTAATGAAGACTTTCAACTCTCATTTCAGAATGTGGGCAAATACGCTAATGGCAGCCTCAAGAATAATGACACAATGTCTGCTTTATTTGTCACTGGCATAAGCAACACAAGCATGTATCTGGCAACCTTGCATAGCACGTTCTTTATTGTGAGATTTTGTCCTCTTACTGGCTAACAGACTTAACTACTGCAGCAAAAAAGGTTGTAAAATTGGGAGTGGTTACATGGTGACCTGCTTAACAACTGGCTTCCATTATGGTGATAAGTTGAGGACTACCTATAAACTCTTGTATAGGAAAGTGTGTGAAAGCACCCTTTTTCAGTGTCTCTGCTGGTTGCTGATTGGAAATGGTAGTCATTTCCATCCCTCCCATTTGATAAAAGAGATTTCTAGTTACGTTTCAGACAAAGAGGAATGTTTACCTGATTATATCTTTTCATTTCCTATTGCACTTTGATCTTTGCAGCCTATTTTAATCTGCTTTTGAATCTCAGAAGGAAGAATGTGTGAAGGGAGGACTTGATTTACAATAGTATCCCTATCTTGGAGCTTCAGAATTATTTTCAGAGTATCAAATAAAAGGAGAAATATGGCTACTAAACAATGACATTTTCAGTGAGAGTTACTTGGTTGGAAAATGATTCCATTAGAGAGGCTTGCACAAAACTGTTTTCTAGATTTTTTTAGTTCTCCAAAATCCTGATTTTATTTTGGCTTCAGTGGTTGTCTTGAAAAGATTTTTTGTTACATTTTATTATGATACTACATCATGAAGATTCTGGTTAAGCTTTATTTTCAGTGTTCCTAGAAATGTCTAGCTATTAGAATAGACAGAATCTACTATGTCTATACTTACAGATAAATGTTCTACTTCTAAAGATGTATAAACTTAATTATGCCTATGTATAATTCTCTCATAACTACAGAAACTTCCAGACAGATAAATATTTTAAATTTAGCCTCTGATTACTAGCCAAACGAGGACCCATTGTTGTCTTCTGATAAATGTAATGAAAGCATGTAATATAGGCTGCCTTTGTAGCTAAAAACTAGAGCAGCATAAGCAGATAAGTGTGTGTGTATAAATATAACTGTATTATAAATGTCATTTTGCAGGCAACTCCACTTTGCATTTCCTGGTTCTTGTGACAGGCTGTATATCAGTGGGAAAAATCCTTGATACTGAAGTTTACAAGATCACAGCTACTGAATTTTGTGCTCTACAAGAAGAAACTAAAGAAGAAGATCGTGTCTCTGCCTTGAAGAAACTTCTGAATTCTGGGGTTTTCTATTTTTCCTGGCCAAATTCAGGATCAAACTTTGATCTCACTATCCGAGCCCAGGAGAAAGATGATGATAGCTATCAGACTGGAAATTCATTTTTCTGGTTGGTACCAAACTTAGGAGTTTTGCTCAAGCCTTGGTTTAAGATGTTTGGGTGGGTCTTTTTGAGTTGAGTTGATATAGTAGGATGTTATGTTGTCCCTCAGATAATTGTTGTTTGTATATAATGTTCCTTTGTAACTGGTGAAGCTGTCCAGAATTTCTAGGTAAGATGAATCTTTACTCCAATCCATCCAGGATTTTCTTATATACTTATGATTTCACATATTGAGTAGCAGGTTTAAATGTATTTTGAATATGTCTAATAGAGACAATTTTCCTTGACTTGTTTACCACAAGTATATTATACTCCAAGCTACGTCCCATTAATTTAAACAAGAGAGGTTGAAATGTGTGGTTATATTGTCTCTACTGACTGAATTAGAAGAAAACAATAGGACTCATTAGGACTGATGTTGGTGGAATCTCCACCATTTCTGTGGATGCTGTGCCCTTCTTCCTACAGTATGTAAAGCTAATGAATAAATTCTGCTGAATGATTAATAGTTTTCAATAAAAACTTATAAATATATAATCATAATGAAGCAATATACAAGTTTAAGTATATATGCAAGGCATTATTTCGTAATACTTTTTGCTTTAAATGGTGGTGTGAACAGTTGTAGAATAAATACATTAATGTAGTAATTGTGCCAAACTGAACACATACCAGCAGCAGTTAAATATTGATCAGAAGGCCCCAAAAACCTGTGTTAGCTGTTCTATTATTTGTGATGCAGAAACACTAAGTAGGTCCTAAATTTAGTTTATGGGTCATGTTTCACAGATTTACTGCACCGTATAGGTAATTAGAGGTACTTTTGTGGCATTCATGAGATAATGTGATGTAGTTTAATGGTTCTAACTTAACACTGGTAAGAACCAGATTCCAGTGTCCTCTCAGCCTTGGAAACTCTCTTTCATAGCTCAGCTTACCTGAAAGAGTTATTGTGGGAAAGATTTTAAAGAGAATAGCAATAGCTCCTTGGGGGGTGGGGGAAGTAAACTGTAACTAATAAAGTAAATAAAATATTCTCAGTTTTTATTGCAGAAAAATAGTGAACAACAAACATTTGTAAAAGTTCAGGTCATAACCAACACTTTAAAATCACGCAGTTAAACTTCCTTCCTTTTGTGACTTTCTAACTATCTCTGTTTATCTGCAGTGTTGGTTTTTTTTTTAGTCTGGTTAGGATATCATTTGTTACCTTATGTACTAGGCTTTAAAATTTGTAAACTGCACAGGGAAAAACATATTAAAAGTAATCTTTGCTAAAGAGAGAGGTCTAGATTTGGATATACAGATACAGTTATAGATATAAAATGTATAAACGTGTGTTGTACATACATGATCTTTCTTTCTGTCCTGCTGACTCTTACAGGAACCAGCTATTGCATGTCCCTTTTAAACACTATCAGGTGAACTGTTCAGACTGGCTTCTAAAAGTGATTTGTGGTGTGGTGGACATTCGTACTCTTTATGCCTCTCACAAGAAGGCAAAAGCCTGTCTCATCTCCCGGATTAGTTGTGAGCGAGCTGGTGCCCGGTTTCACATACGAGGAGTCAATGATGATGGTCATGTTTCTAACTTTGTTGAGACGGAGCAGGTAAGTGGCAGGAGAAGATCCATGTCACTAAATAATTAAGTGTGAAATGAAGTATCTTTTAAAGCAGCAAAGGAGAGGAGAGAAGCTTTTCTGACTTCTTGGCCCTTCTAATAGAAAAGCCTGGCTAAAACTATGGGTATTCCTCCATTTCCCTTTGAGAATCTCATTTGTAGGCATTGAGTGAAACTTCTTCAATTATATTTTACTTGGTTACCTAAGTAGTCACAGATGGTGGGAATAGTTAAGACTTCCATAAAATATGTTGGGCATTGGAAAAATGGTACCGTATATTCCGGCGTATAAGACGACTTTTGAGAGCGTTGAAACAGCCTCCGAACTGGGGGGTCGTCTTATACACCGGAAATAAGGTAGTTTCTGGTGTATAAGAGGACTTTCTAGGCATGCAACTCGGCATCGATCGTCTTATATGCCGGAAATAACATAGTTTCCGGCGTATAAGACGACTTTCTAGGCATGCGATTCGGCGTTGATCGTCTTATACACCGGAAATACCGGTAGTTTCAGCGTATAAGACGACTTTCTAGGCATGTGACTTGGCGTCGATCGTCTTGCGACTCGGCATTGATCGTCTTGCGGCCTGGCGTCGAACTCAGAGGTTGTCTTATACGCCGGGTCGCCCTATACGCCGGAATATACGGTACTTATGACTTGTTCTGGGAGTTCTAGCCATTGTGGCATCCCTGTGGTCATATTTTTTGCGAATTCCAATATCCCCTGCCAGCTTCACACAAGTAAAATCAATGGAGAAGCTGTCAGGATGTGAGATCCTGACCTGGGTGGTCCTTGACTTATGACTGTCAGAACTACTCTTGCTAAGTGATGTTGTCATGTGGCATTATATTTTACAACCACATTGCTTAGAAATGAAAATTCCAGTCCCAGTTGCTCTCATAACTTGAGGACTACTTGTATCCTTAGTAATAGATTTGAGGTGATACAAGCCATTGAGAATCACCAATTTAACATTAGCGCCTTTTCCTTCTTTTACAATAATACATATATAAAAATAGGATTCAACTTAAGAATGGGCTTGAGTCCAATTATGTTTGGAATATAAAATATTAGGGCGGTACAGAAAATGATTTTGCTTTGTTAGCTGACTAGCAGATAATTAGGAATGAAGTAATGACTGCTTCTAATACAGTGGAAAAAATAGTTCATCATATCATATTGGTTCTGCTCATTCATAAATTAACTATATACCCCAGGATTGTAGATGTCATGACCCCTTTACCTGCATGGTTTCCCCTAGCTTAAGGAAGAAAGTAAACAATTAGCTTTATCTCCTGGAAGCTCTTCCCACTGAGGTACATTTTTGATACTTCAGTTTTTCTGTGACTCATTTCTCTCTCCCTCCCTTTCTCTCTCTCTCTTTCTCTCTCGTGATGACTCACTGCATACGCAAAGAAAAACAAAACAATTTGAAGTCTCTTTGCTTTCTAAACTGAAGTCAGCTGTTGATCTTTTAGCTCATTTGCTACAAAAACAATCCAAAGAAGTGGTGGTGCTGGGGATCTGAACAAAGCAGCATGCCGACTGAAAAGTGCAGAGAAGGAATTAAATTAAAAGTTGCATCCCACACAGCTTAATTCCTCATTCAAACTGGCCTTGATACAGCAGTATTAGAACCAACAGGAATCATCAGAGTTAGTTGTATAAAAATACCCATAATAAATTAATGTTCTTCAAATCGGTGTAATTTGTTTGGCAATCATATGGAAATAACGATATTGCTTTCTTCTGGGATGTTTGCCTAGTTTCCCTAGCTAAGCTACAGTCCTGAGATTCTTGATGGTTCCCATCCAACTGCTAACCATTTCTGATCCTACTTAGCTTTTAGAGATCAGCTGATACAGGCTAGGGCAGGGGTAGGCAACCTTGGCTCTTTTATGACTCGTGGACTTCAACTCCCAGAATTCCTGAGCCAACCATGCCACGAGTCATAAAAGAGCCAAGGTTGCCTACCCCTGGGCTAGGGAATATAAGGCTGAAACTAAGGATGAGCAAAATGAAATAGTTTTTTGGGGGGAATATTTTGTTTCTTCTTGGAACGTTCTGTTTTTGTTTTTTGCTCCAGAACAGGCCAGGCTTAATGTTCTTGGAGTGGGTAATATTTTTTATAATAAGAACTGGCAGTGACAGGGAAAATGGAACGTGGCAGATAAAAACAGCATCCTGGGAAATGTCTATGTAGCTTTGTGTGTAAAGTCAACAAAAATCCGAAAGTATTCTCCAAACTAGAAAATGGGACATAGAAATGATTAATTTCTTAATTAAGATTGATTAACCTTAATTAGTTAATTAATTAAAGATCAGGCCTGGGTCTGGGACCTGAGTATATGCAGAGACCTGTTTCTTGATTATTCTAGAAGTTATGATGTATGACATACTTGGCTGCCATCGTTTTAATTTTTATGTTATTGTGTTTTCCTTTTGAATTTTGTTGAAATGGGAGAACATACAAATTGAATGAACTAATACATAAATAATATAGCCCAGCATAAGGTGGTATAAAGTATTATGCATTAGACAAAAATCATATTATCTTTTTATCTAATAGAATAGAATAGAATAGACTGAAAAATGTTGTGTAAATAAGATAAACTCTGACTAGGATTATTAGGAAAGAAATGCTAGCATGATGTATTTATTTCATTTTATGGCACAATCATACTAAAAATATCTTGCACAGTTCTGGTTACTATATCTCAAAGTGACAGTTCTATACAGATTGTCATTAGATACCAAGTGTACATTCAACAGAAGTCAAACATAAAGGATGACACCTTGAAAATGTGATATATAGACTGGCTCACATTTTTCTATTCTATAACTTATAAACAAAATATTTTTTGTATGAAGTGAGTGCATATCATTATTGCATAAGTATAAATGAACCTGTGAAAAATGGTATATTGAATAGTTAAGAGCCAAATGGGTTTTTAAAAATATTTTTTAAATAATACATTTTCTAAGTCTTGTCAGCATTTTAAGCTGCTTAGTATTTAAGCTGCTTAGTATTGTTATATTAATTTGATATTTATGAATTGTTATTTTGCGAATTTAAAAAATCTGATAATCCAGATAAATTGATCTCTACTCAATGTTTAAAACAATTTAATATAGGCACTCTTCTCTTACTGATGGTAATTAAAACCAGGACCTTCGTCACTAAGTGATGCAGTCATGGCAGCACATGACCACCCTGTCTTAGGACAGCAGTTTCAACAGTTCCCAGGTGCTGTTGTTAGGCAAATCACATACAGTTACAGCATCCCATGGTGATGTGATCATCATATGCCACCTCCTTCCAGTTTCTCCATTAACTTTATTGGAAGATAGTAGTAAAGATCACTTGACAGTGGGATACTGCAGCGTTGCAATTGCAAGCCAGTCACCAACACCCAGATTACAATCACAAAATCATGGCAATATGTAACACCCACAACTACAAAAACCACTTGTAAATAATCTCATTCATGGAGTACCCGTCCTAATTTCAAAGGGTTGCTGAACCAGCAGATGTTAAATGAGCACTACTTGTAGTCAGACATTGCATTAATCTAAATATATGCTATTTTTTATCTTTTCAGACTATCTATTTGGACATGGATGTTTCTTCCTTTGTTCAGATCAGAGGTTCAGTTCCATTATTCTGGGAGCAACCTGGATTGCAGGTAATAAGCATAAATCATGAATGTTTAAAGAAATGTTTATTCCTATACCGAAAGTTTCCTTTACATTTGGCATATAAGCATTTCTGGTGTTAAACTGTAAATAGGACAGGAGTTTCCATTCTTTTTGGAGGGACTATGATGTAACCTTTCACATGAAATGGATTTGTACGTGTGCTTATTTGAGTTTGGACTGATTCCGGAATATAGAAATAGGGAGTGCGTTAGTTACCTTTATAAGTGGTTATATTGTAAATGCGATCGTATGCCTTTATACTTTTCTTTTGTTAATTAATTTTGTATAATAAAAATTTTAAAATATAAGCAAGACAATCAATTTTAATCTTACAAAGAAATTGAAAAACATTGGAAAAAAGATTCTGGGCAGATTAATTATGCATCGTTATTTTTTGTCATCCCCATTTTCTAATAACATCTGCCTCCTGTGTTCTGTGGCATCATTTGTGGATGCCAAGATGGTTGCTAGGCTATAATAAAGAAACACTTTTCTCTAAATAAAAAAAGGGAGACATCTAGTGATTTATGTTAAGAGTATCACTTCCTGTTCTTTTTATTGTTATCTTTTTAGGTTGGTTCCCATCATCTGAAGCTTACCAGAGGTCTGGAGGCAAATGCTCCTGCTTTTGATAAGTAGGTTTAATAATTGCAAGATTGCTGATAACTTGCAGCCTAGAACTTGATGTTACAGCTTTCATTGTAGGCTGTTCTAGAATCTTTACGTGCAGCCATGTCTTTTGGTTTTCAAATCCATTTCGCTCTTTTGCATGAATATTCCCGTTTGTCATTTAGGATTACATCTGAGAAGAGATAAATGTTGAAAGATAGGTATATGTTTTTGAACAAAGCTGTCGGTGTTCTGGTTACCTTCGGATGCCTGGGTACCTTTGGGCAATTGCTTTTTCTTAGCCAAATTTACCTCACTAGGTGATTGTTGTGGGACAAAATGGGAGGACTATGCATGCTCCATTGAGCTCCTGAATGACAGGTGGGATATAAAACAAATAAAGTATGAAAAACATACTATGATTTTTTAAAAAAAAACACACTTTTTTTTTCAATCTAAACTAACGTTTAGGAGAATGTCATGTTGTTGATCCTGGTTTTTTAATTCACAAGAGAGAAAGCTGCACTCTAGGAAAGGAAAATTCGGCCAGAGAGTACACAATAGAAATTTCAGTTCCCCTCTATAGGTTTTCCCTCAGTTGGAGTATTTGAGTAGAGGTACCTAGAAAGGGATGCTGATAGCCCCTAGAACTGTAGTTTGATGAGACTTCAACACTAATGCTGAGTTGTTTGGATGTTGAACTACTCAGAACTTTATAACCAAGAAAATTATATGATTGTTCTAACTTGTGTGCAGCCAAATCTTAGGGCAGGACATATTCTGGATGGATTTATTTTATCTAGATAGAGGCTAATCTGAAATGGGAATTAACATCTCATTGTTCTTGTCAAATGCTTTTCTTTTGACGTTTTAGGGATAGCAATAGCTTTTTTTTTAACTCTGCAAGTGCAGTAATGGGGAATCTTTGAAAACAGTCCATCCTAAGGCCAATACATTCTGATGGATTATGAAGAGTTGTGTGACTGGCACTCATATTGAAACTCTGCTAAAGTCATTGTTTGGTCTTGTATGATTAAATGCCCTCACCTTTTTAGCAGTCTTTAATTGCTTGAGGAGAAAATAATTTAAAAAAGTGAGATGACAGCTTAAAAGTCTGCAGGAGGAAGACTCCTGCTGCCTCTGATGGAATACAGGTTAAGCCTAGTCTATGGGTTTTTAATAGTGGCAAACAAAAGAATTGTTTTCTAAAATCCTGAATCAGGTTAATTTCATGGAGCGTCATTATTTGGAGTCTGTACTGATTCCTGAGCAATTTACACTGTCTGGTAGATGTCTTAATATTTCATGCAATATTTGAAATAGTCAAGGAAAGAATTCATTTTCTAGTAAAATTGTAAAAATAAAATAAAATTGCATTTTTACAACTGAGGGAAGCATCTTAATATTCAAGACACTATTAAGGTATCTCAATTTGCTCCCTGAAATATGGAATACCCTGAATCTATTATAATAAACCAGTGTCCTGATAAACTAAATCACAATTTGTCTACCTATATAATTTCAATTATTTACACTCCCAACAAGTAACCAATCCAGGTATATTATAAAATGATGGTGTGTAAGAAGTAGTGGTTGATTATTAAAATATGCAACAGGTATTCATTTGGAGTAAAACATAAATTGTAGTAAGGAATCAAGTTCTTCAACCGCTATTCTGGAAAAAAAAAACTTGTGTGATTAGAAGGCCATAACTGACATTGGTCACTTATAGTTTAAGAAGAATTCTAAGTAGCTTCTATTATTTATGAAATCAAAGCAACCTATTCCTGCTTTTTCAGGCATATGATACTTCTGAAGGAGCAATATGGCAAACAAGTGATCGTTAATTTGCTAAGAAGCAAAGGGGGAGAGGAGGTCCTCAGTAGGGCTTTCAAGGTAAAAACAAAGATCAAAGTCTTTTTTGCTAATTTTGTCTTGGTTCAGATTTTTGCTTCTTATGAAAGTAAGAAATACCTTCTTATTAGATAGCCAGCACTCAGCCTGCAAAAATCAGAGATAGTAATTTTCCTTTTACAAATATGTTTTGAGTATCCCCAAATTGGTAAAATTTATATAAATGCTTTTTTGACAGCCTACTGAAAACAATAGGGTTATAAGTAATTGTGAATACGACTGGATCATTTATCTGAAGTTGATCCCTGTTTCTTAGAGAAATAATTCCACTGAAAGCAGAGGATGAGAGGTTGTACCCCATGGATTTTCTTTTCTTAGAAAAAAGCAGCAATATGCTGTTGCTTTTCCAATAATGCTTATCAGAGGGGAAAAAAAATAAAGATGTACGAATGTACTGGAATTAAGCCTGTAAAGCAGAGGTCCCCAACCTTTTGAGCACCACGGACCAGTTCCGTGGAGAGAAGGTTTTTTGTGGGGGCGTGGTTTCATGTACTGCCTACATCCCGCGGATAGGGCTTTGCTTGTTTGCGCGAATCAGTTTCTGGCATGCCGCGGCCTGGTACCGGTTCATGGACCAGGAGTTGGGGGACCCCTGCTGTAAAGGATATCAGATTTTGTAAAAATTCCTATATGTTGACAAAGAGCATGATGGGTTGTGAGCAGCAGCATGTTAATAAATATTTAGCAACCAGCTCTGCCACCTCCTGTGCACTGCGCTGCACCGGGGAACTACCAAATAGCAATTCAGTACATTAAATCTTCTCAATTGTATTTTCTTAAGCTTGCACAAGCAAGTTAAGATAAGATAAGGTAACCTTTATTGTCATTTTTTTTACCGTGGGCACAACGGCACACATCAAAAATGAAATTTAGTTGCCCGCTCTCAAAGTGAAATACATACATGACACACACCTAAACATACTATGTACAACATATGTATAGACCCACACCCCTACATATACATAACAAATAAATATTAAATACTGTCCATCTTGAATATATAATGGAAAAAGAAAGCTTGAGAATTCACAAGGTTAATGCTGTACAGAATTAAATTGGCTGAATCGGGATGTTCTGCTACGGATACCATGAAGCCAGGGAAACATTTGAAGATGAGGGAAAAACAGGACGGAACAGTGAATTCTGCTATGATAGTGATAGTGATGTCAGGCGCAGGTAACCAGGAACAGGAGCTGAATTCGAAGTAATAGATGTTTATTACATTCTACCTATATACAAAAATCTGATCTACTAAGGGTCAAGGCAAATTGGTACTAGATAAGAGTCAACAGAATTCATGGGCTGGGGGAGAGAGGGCTGGACTTTCAACTCTTGTGGGAATATAGCAACTGATAGTGTGTTTGACCTTGCATTAGGATTCCCCCTGTACAAGTATCCAGCAAAGTTGCCTAATCAGGCAGTATTGGGAAGAGGGTTGTTCCATGCAGCCCTGCTTTCAGCTAAGGTGGCTCTCTCAATGGTTACTCGGATTAAAAATAGGGTCCTCCAGCATGTGAAGTAACTCCTCTTTCAGCCAGCTAAGCTTCTGCTGCTGTGTCTATGTTTCAGACATGGGGCCTAAAATATAGGGTGGGATGGAGTGGGGTAGGGGGAGATAAATGCTTACCAGATGGGGAGGAGCATAATGGTTAGCACGCTGGCTTGGAGGTTAGCAAGTGCACATTTGAGACTGCGTGCTGCCACCCTTTGCTCCAACTTCTGCTGGGGACATGAAAGGAGCCTTCAACTGGGCGTCCCCTGGGCAATCGTGATGTCACTGGCTAATCCTTTCAACCTGGAAGTGTCTCGGTTCTTCTGAATGAATGTGATGCAACCCAATGGGGAATTGATGTCACATATCACCAGTCCTCCTAGCCCATAAGAGGGCTTTCTGTCATCAGGTTAAAATTGTCATTTTTCTGGGCAGGAAACTACAAAGCATTTGGCTACACCCCCCTTCTTTCTTTCTTAAAACCCCTTTATATTTATAGAATCTAAAGGTTTTTTGGGAAACATCAGTAGTGTAGAGAGCATGCTGACTGCCCGTTTATTCTCTTTTTAACATTTTAAATGGTCTTTTAAAAACAAAGTTGGGGAGAACAGAAGATCTGGGGCCTACCAAGTGTCTTTTGGCCCACTGCCCTTCTCACTAGCATCATTTAGAGGCAATCACTGTGATTCCTCTGTGAGGCTAACAGTTACTACAGTTGCAGAATTGGATAGCATGCTTGGAACAATGACTCATGCTGGGCTGGTAGTGCTTCAGCCATTCCGAAGTAAACTATGAAGCACTGAGGACTGTAAATAGACAAAGATATGTAGACAGCAAAGGAACAGATCCAGTGGTAAACACAAGCTGCTGTTGCTCACCTCTTCACCACTTAGAAGCAGCCTTTACATACACAGTGATTTTCTCTTAAATTCATTTTGGATCTTAGCCATTGGAAGTTTGCAATGAGTTTGATCATATTCCTAGTGAGAGTGAGAAAAATTCAATTTAGCATTAGCACCCCTGCTGTCTGCATACAACACAAGCTTAAAGGGCAGGGTAGGAATTTTCAAAATAACAGCACTAAGCAAACAAGCATACAGCTTTGCGAATGGGTGGAGAAATTTCCTACTCACATCACACCTGTTAGTCATAGTCACATTATGCAGTGCAGTGCAGTTCAGCCAAAGCCAAAAAATTCACATATGGTAAAGGGAGGCATGGAGGCAACATATAAACGACCTTTTGGCGTGGGTAGTTTTCAAACATCATTTTCCCATATGTGAGCATGTGTGAAGCCAGAGAGGCTACCTTAGTTATGTTCAACTTGTACTTGTGATCCATTTAATATGCTTGTGATACGCTGTGATACTGCATTACGTTACTCCAGTCGCGCATTCAGTTATGGAGACCTAGAAAACTATATTTTTGATTCAGTTTTCCCACTAAAGTCATTTGGGAAGAAGATCCTTTGCTCCTGGTCTGAGCTGTTGTAAAACATCATTGAAAAGCCCAGGTGACAGGTGTAGTTTGAAATGATAACTGATATATATTACAATATAAGAATATTATTTCTCTGCCTATCATTCTGTTGATAATGTCTTCTTTTCACTGATTGGTTTTTGAATTGACTCTGCTGATAGAATATTCCATCACTAATTTTTATGATAGTAGCATATTTTGCATTCTACCAGTCTATTGGGATTTCTGCCAAATTCTGTGGTCTCTTGGCTGGTATTTTTTCAGTGTAGGACTGGATGCCTCAAATATTCTACTGTAATAATTTATTACATGAGAAATAGATTTTACTATCTTAATGTTTCTGGCAACAAAATATAGTTTTATTTTTACTTATTTCTCTGCCTCCCAACCTGTAATGAAGATAAATATTCAGACCATGAATATAATAAACAGACTGCGATGCAGCTATGTCATAAGTATTAACTAGGTTTTCTCAACCTGCCCCTTCTAAAGTTTTGGGTTATCATTCATGTCATCCCCTACCAACATGATTGTTGGACTAATTCATGTAGAGAAGGCTAAAGGAAAGATAACTAAACCCAATTAGATCAGAACATGGTGAATCCCATTTTTTAATGATGCTATGTCACAGAAACTTAAGTATAGGTAGTCCTTGACTTAAGACCACAATTGAGCCCAAAATTTCTATTGCTGAGACATTTGTTAAGTGAGTTTTGCCCCGTTTTACAACTTCCTTGCCAGTTATTAAGTGAATCACTGCACTTAAGTTAGTAACACGGTTGTTAAGGGAATCTGGCTTCCTCATTGACTTTGCTTATCAGAAGGTCGCAGAAGGGGATCACATGACCCAAAGACACTGCAACTACCATAAATATGCAATCAGTTGCCAAGTATGTGAGCCGAGGTGGCGCAGCAGTTAGGGTGCAGTACTGCAGGCCACTTTAGCTGACTGTGTTCAGCAGGTCAGCGGTTCAAATCTCACCGGCTCAAGATTGACTCAGCCTTCCATCCTTCCAGGGTAGGTAAAATGAGGACCCAGATTGTTGGGGGCAATGTAAATATATATATATATATATATATATATACACACACACACACACACATTGCTTACTGGTGTACACTGCTTAGAGAGTGCTTGCACTTAAAGCGGTATATAAGTCTCATAAATAAATAAATAAATAAATAAATAAGTGGCTGAATTTTGATCACATGACCGTGGGGCTGCTACAACAATCGTGTGAAAAACAGCCATATGTCACTTTTTTCAGTGCCATTGAAACTTTGAATGGTGATTAAAGAATGGTTGTAAGTTGAGGACTACCTGTATGCTCTTGAAATTGATAAGAGGTGGGCATTGAAGTAATTGAATGCAAATATTTAGTTGTTTTACTTCTGTTTAACTTCACAACTGACTGCATTGTTAGACATACCGTGTTTCCCCAAAAGTAAGTCCTCCCCGAAAGTAAGCCCCAGCTTGATTTTTGGGAGTGGGCCTAATATAAGCCCCCTGAAAGTTAGCCCTAATTTTGGGGCGAGGCGCACACCTAAAAATCAAACTAGGGAGGGGGTAGAGGGAGTGAAGCTGCCACACGCACCCCACACCGGCTTACCTTATTGGTAGGACCACTACAACCAGGCCTCCCATGCCCTGAGACTTGTTACGCTGTATGGCTCATCATGACAGTACCACTGCTCATGGCAGGAGGTTGCACAGCGCTTCGGGCCGTTGCTGCCGCTTGTGGCAAGAAACCGCATGGCGCTTTGGGCTGTTTCCACTGCTCGCGGTGGGACGCCACATGGTGCTTTGGGCCTTTTCCACTGCTTGCAGCAGGACACTGCATTACTCTTTGGGCCGTTTCTGTTGCTTGCGACAGGATGCCACATGGCACTTCACGCCATTCCCATTGTTCACAGCAGGACGCTGCGTGGTCTCCTGCCACAAGTGACAGCAATGACCTAAAGAGTCACACAGCTTTTTTGCTGCGAGCAGCAGCAACAGCATGAAGCACCGTGCGGCGTCCTACCACAAGCAGCGGAAACAGCCCAAAGCACTGTGCAGCTTCTTGCCGCGAGTGGCAGCAACAGCATAAAACACCATGCGACATCCTGCCATGAGTAGCAGCAATGGCACAATGGGCCACATGGTGTCCAACCACAGGTGGCGGCAAGCAGTCACTGAAGAAGTCAAGCAGCAGTGCAACAGGTGTCGAGGTATGGGAGGCCTGGCTGTGATGGTCCCAAGGTAAGACACCTCCTAAAAATAAGACCTAGTACCTCTTTTGGAGACAAAAAAATTATAAGACGAGGCCTTATTTTTGAGGAAACACGGTATATATATCATTCACCAGCAAATCAGTACATGTTATCGGAAAGATTTTTACAAATGAAATAACAAAAAAGATTATTCTCTGTTCTTTTATAAGAAATTGCTTTGGGCATCATCTCATGCAGTAGACACACCAATGATTAATTTTGATTACCATCATTTTGCAAAAGATGGGAAACTGGAGAATTTGCTGGGGCCCCAGCTAAAACTGCACTGGGAAGAACTGGGTATCTTTACAAAAAATGAAAATGGAAGTTCCCGGTGAGTATGATACTCCTTCGTCTGCAGGTGTTTGTGCTTTTTATTTAACAGTTTTTCCTGCTCCAACTTTACATTTGTGGGTATTTTATGCTATCTTGGTTATAAACTATTTAATATTTTTGTGCAAGTGGAATTATTTATATAACTTTTCATCACTTTTACATTTGAAACAGTCTGGAAAGCTGGTGACACTTTTGGACACCTCATATCTGTTGCTGATGTTTCAATCTCATCCATTTGTAAAGTAAATTAATATGAATCATGATTCCCATAATAGTTACAATTAATTGTTCTTATGATGTTGTATAGGAATCAACATGTAAAATGTGTAGTCTTGCCTTTCCACTCAGAGTTCTGAGGGAAAACTGATCTAGCCAATTCCAGCATTCCAGATGCAGATCCTTGATCAATTGTGGCTAAGGAGGCTAGCAATGAATAAATTGAATTGTTATAATTTTTGCCTTTGCTTTAAGACTTGTGCTATTGTCCATAGAATCCTAAATTTTCGTGCTAGAATTGCTCAGTAGAATATTCAACCTATAGGGTGAGGCACAGTACTAATTCTTTTAGTTCTTTGACTTGTTTTTTGAAGTCAACAGATGGGTACCATTCGAATGAATTGTCTGGATTGTCTAAATCGAACTAATACCGTCCAAACCTTCATAGCACTTGAGGTGAGTGATAGGGCATTCAGCTTCTGAGAGTTTGAACAAAACCCTTACAAGAGGAATTATGAGCAAACATTGGATATTATGTGGGTGGGAAATTTGATTGTTGTCCTGTCTCATTCTGCACTGTACTTTTCTTTTTTTCAAATCAGGTTCTCCAAAGTCAACTAGAAAGCCTGGGATTAAATTCCAAACCTATAGTTGAACGTTTTTTGGAATCTTACAAAGCAATGTGGGCTCTCAATGGGCACAATCTAAGCAGAATTTTTACAGGCAGCCGTGCTTTAGAAGGAAAAGCTAAGGTAAAGGAAAAAGTGAGCCTCAGTTATTCTGTGACATTTCAATAACTATGAAATTAAATTTATTACTCCTATTCTTATGTAGGTTGGGAAATTCAAAGATGGTGCCCGGTCAGTATCACTGACCATTCAGTCAAACTTTTTTGATAGCGTGAAACAGGAAGCCATTGATTTACTGCTTATGGGTGATTTTTACAATGAAGAAGAGAGAATGCTGCTGGATCATACGGCATTACTGAGTAAGCAAGATCGTTTTATTTCAATAGCTCTGCGGTCTTATCTATTTCTTGGGAGTAATCCACTTAAATAAGCTGCACAAGATTTCATATTAGAAAAAAAATCAGCATTACGTTTGGGACTTCCCAGTAGGATACTCAGCCACTCTCTTCATTGTATTCAAAATCAGTGCCTCACAAGTGAAAGATTCCGTCCATTAGTGGGAGATTTTAATACAGCAATAGAATCCTACTGATAGAATAAAGGACCTGATGATCTCCACCATTTTTTATTCTTGATCCTCTAATCCATAATGCCAATTCAATCTTCTCTAGAAAGTTGGATGATCTTTCAGAACACTGAAGGAGGGTGGAATCTGCAAAGATCATGTCCCTATTTTTAAACTATGTACGTACCATGCAAAAATGTTCTCACACTATCCATGTGCCTACTTATGAACTCTCGCTAGTAAGAAACATTGCTGTAAGGACCTCAATATAATTTAACATGCTTATCCTGCATTCAGACTTATAAAGGAAATACTTGGAAGCATGATAGCAAAATAATTATCAAGAGATAATTTGTAATCACTGCCATGGTTCATAATTTAAGGGAAAAAATTAGCTTTCCTTCCTCTCTTTCCTCATCTCCATTAGTGACACCAAGCACTTTGAAAATCATGTCAGAGCGTCAATTTGAATTCACAAACTTCAAGAGAATTCGTGTTGCCATGGGGACCTGGAATGTAAATGGAGGCAAACAGTTTAAGAGTAATATCCTTGGTACCAGCGAATTAACAGATTGGTTACTTGATTCCCCTAAACTCTGTGGGGTTTCAGAGTTTCAAGGTAATAAAAAGTACTACAGGTGATATGATAAAAATATGCATCTGTATGTATTTGTATGTGTGTGTGAATATATGAGGATGACATTTGGGACTGCCCAGTTCCACTGTAAGAGTAACAAAGTTAGATACTTCTAGTAGGAATTAATTATGTGCATTTGGGCAGGCGAGCTTCATATATTAGTGTTTATCTTCCTTCCTGAAATGGAATAATTAGATTAAGTTGCAAATCAATTAATACGTTTGATTTTTCCCTCCCCATTACAACAGATGATCATTGTCCCGCTGATATATTTGCTGTAGGATTTGAAGAAATGGTAGAATTAAATGCTGGCAATATTGTGAATGCAAGGTACGTTGACACTGAATTGTCTAACTGCATTGTTTCAATTCCTGTCTGAGAGGCTCACTGAAATTCCTTATTCATGATAATTTCAGAACTATCGTTAAGTTTTGTTATTCTGAAAAGTATTTTTAATTTCCTGAAATGAATTCGTTCAGTATTTGTTAATTATCTTTTTTCATATGGATATTTTTATACCAGACATATTTACAGTCCAAATAGTTACTTGATGCTCTGTCATTAAAATGTATTTTAATACTACATGCTATAAACTAGCTAAGGTATAATAATCTTCAGTGATTTTATATAAATATAATAAATAAAATGATTACATATCTCTAAGAGTCTGATTCTTACTTGCATGTCCATTAACCGTGGTGGCACAGTGGTTAGAATGCAGTATTGCAGGCTACCTCTTCCCACTGTTAGGAGTTCAATTATGACCGGCTCAATGTTGACTCAGCCTTCCATCCTTCTGAGATTGGTAAAATGAGGACCCAGATTGCTGGGGCCAGTATGCAAACTGCTTAGAGAGTGCTGTAAAGCACTATGAAGCTGTATATAATTCTAAGTACTACTGCTGTTGCTAACCAGCGACTTGTATTATCTGCAAGGACCTTCACAATAGACTTGTATCATTGGATACAAGTGCAATAAAGGTAGTTCTTGATTTATAACAGTTCATTTAGTGACTGTTCAAAGTTACAATGTCACTGAAAAAAGAGACTTGTGACCATTTTTCATATTTACGACAGTTGTAGCATCCCCACTTAACAACTGTGACAGGAAAGATTGTAAAATGAGGGTGAAGTACACTTAACAACTGTCTCATTTAACAGCAGAAATTTTGGGCTCAATTATGATCGTAAATCGAGGACTACCAATGCCTGTACATTTCAGTGGAAATAGTTCACATTTCAGCAGAAAGTCATCAGTTGATATTTACATATATATGAACCAATACATTAGAACTGACAATCCTTATGACACAAAGACCACATTGATTGCTTGGTAATGGGCCAGTGGCTATGAGTGTGCTTATGTACGTGTTTCCCCGAAAGTAAGGCCTACACTAACAATAAGCCCTAGCTTGATTTTCAGGGTGGGCCTAATATAAGCCCTATCCCAAAAATAAGCCCCAGTTTGGGGCAAGGCACACATCTAAAAATCAAACTGGGGTGGGGGTGTGGAGCTGCTCCACCTGCCCTGCACCCACTTACTTTTCAGCCAGGCCTCTCCTTGCTGGCCCACTTCTTTTGAGGCCTCTTCTGCAGCCAGGCCTGCATTTCTGAGTCACAGGGCTTTCTGGAAGGCCTGTGGAGCCAAGAACTGAGCTATGGATTCAATCCACAGCTTGGTTCTGCAAGACCTCAGCAGCTGAGCACCAGGCTATGGATTGAATCCATAGCTCAGTACTCAGCTGCTTAGGCCTTCCGGAAAGACCTGACTGCAAAATGGAGGCCCAAATGCAGCTGCAGAACGTCAGCCCCAGAAGAAGTGGACTGGCTGGGTGGGGCTGTCGGTGCCGGGAGTGAGATAAGGCCTACCCCGAAAATAAGACCTGGTGCCTCTTTTGGAGGAAAATAAAATAAAATAAGACCTGGTCTTATTTTCGGGGAAACACAGTATATATCATGTTCAGGTACCTACATTTCTCACTTTTAACATGTAATAATAAAAAGCTTTCTTTCAGTTCATGGCCATAGAAAAAGCAATTATGCTCAATTGCTGAGAAAGAAGAAGCAATCTTTAGTGACTTTGGTCAAGATTGCTGAGTGTGGGAGGGAAATTTAGTTTCAGTATGAATTTAGCTTCATCATATAAATTCCAAAATGTCAAATTGATACATGTAATTCAATAATTGAATAATAGCCTACTACTTTAGTCCATCGTTAGGATTAAAAAACATTTTGCTCAAATCCATAGAATGCTTCATGGAATTTTGTTAAATTATCTGATGAAACGGTATGTTCAAAGACATATAACTATTTTTTTTTTAGCACAACCAATAGGAAGATATGGGGAGAACACATTCAGAAGGCTCTTTCAAGAACACATCGATATATTCTGTTGACCTCAGCACAGCTTGTGGGTGTTTGCCTCTTCATTTTTGTAAGACCTTTCCATGTTCCCTATATAAGGTAGTTCTTCTTGCTTCTGTTTTTATGTGACAACTTTGTCGAGAGATCGTGACCAATTGTAGATTTTCTTTAATGGAAATAATAATTAAGGAACAACTGTTTATTTCTAATTCTGATTTAAATAGCCTGGAGGAAAATCAGAGTTACTTGGTTTAGTTGGTTCTTCTCACCAAGGTGGACTGCAATAATTACTTTGTTTTTCAAAATGAATTTTCTGTATTCCCGTATTTCTGAGATGAATCATACTTTATCCCTCTTTCCCATTTCTTCATATAGTTAGGAGCACTTCAAATATTAATTGTTTATGGAAGACAGCCAGATGTTCAGAGATGGAAACAAGTAATGGCTTTTGATTCTTTTCTACTCTTGCATCTGTTCCTGAGTATATATGTCTTGCTAGGAGAGCTATACACTGTTTCTCCATAAAAAAATAGATTATATGAATTAAGCCCATACTCATACCCTATGATAATCATGACTATATGTTCATGTCATGGGTAAACCACACTTAGGCACAATACTGACAGTATTACTTAAGCACTTTTAATCCTCTCATTCTTTCATCAAAGACTCAGCAAAACGTAGGTGTTGATTTTTTTTATTCAGAAAATTATGTTAGGATTCATAAAAGTTATTTTATAAAATTAGTTTTTAAATATTTTTGACTTTCATATTCTGTTGATGGTGTTACTTTCATTTTATCCTATGCTATTTAATTTTTTTAAATGTTTTTATCAATTTAAATAATTATTGTACGTATATACTTTCCAAAATATACCATTGCTGAGCAATAAAAAAAACTACAAGAAATGCCAGAAAGAAAGAGGAACACGCTCAATAAATTCCTCTCTCTTTGAATTGCATTCTGCTTGAATAATTCACATAATAAAATGAGTGGGTTTTGAGATCTTTATTGCAACACACTGTGCCCTCCGCTACAAAATTGTATTTCAGGGCAAGCATAATGGCATGTTCCTTGAAAATAGCTGTCTGCATAGATTGATGTTGGCAGAGTGAAGAATGGCATGCAGAATATATATAAAGTTGTTTCTCTCAAGTTGTGACAGTTTATATAACCTTGCAGGTTCAAAATATTGTTACGCCAAACAAAATGTGTATAATATTCAGATCCAAAAATAAGAAAAATCCTTTAGATTTGCCATGGGCAGATTCTCCCTACCTGTTGGTAATTCTTGAAAGACATTTTGCACAGTATCCTCAAGATCCCAGCAAAATAAGTGTTTGAGTTAAGGAAGAAGCACCACCAGGTGACACCTGTACATGGCTTTTTATCACCTCCTTAACAATCCCTTAAATCAGGAGTGGCTGGCTCAGGGATTCTGGGAGTTGAAGTCCACGAGTCATAAAAGAGCCATGGTTGCCTACCCCTGCCTTAAATGAAACATATATTTTCTTGAGGTCTCAAAACTACTGGACGAACTGAAGAGAAGATATAGTTTCTTTAGGGAGTCACCAGCAAGCAGAGTGAATGTACTCAAGCCAGATCTTAAGCACCTTCTCACTTAAAATCTGAAGAGTATACATTTCTATTCAAAGCTTAGTCTAAGATGCTAAACAGAAAATTTTCATTAATAAGGGTCTGTGGTTAACATCTCATATTCAGTTTCCTGGAGAAACTTTCACCAGAGACTTGTATGTGCCAGCTTTAGTTTGAGGATTGAACTGATGTATCAAAAAGTAGGCAGAGCAGGAAAAATGTGGCTTGTGTACTTTATTTGTGAATTATTTTCCCACTCTTCTATCGATTTAATAATTGCTATTTGGTGAAATGTTTTTTGTGGGGGGGGGGCTCTTAAGGTACTCCAGAAGTGTTTGCTTTTATTGTTGTTGTTTTAAGAAAATGCAAGATGTGCACCTCTTGTTAACCAAAAATTACTCTGCAATTTTGCTGGGCGTTTTTTGGTTGCATGAGTTACTCAATTATCTTTCCTATCATAATATGATAAGAATCGATGTAAGGATAGTTTAGTGGTATTAAGTTATGGTCATACACAGACTAGTTAATGTCACTGAATTCAGCACAAGCTTTCTATATTTCTTTCTTTTGGTATGGCTTGCACCTCAGATTATGTGCAGAGACCTGACTTTGATTAGATAACACATTTTTTTCTGTAAGTTACACCTGTGGTATCACTGAACAAATGATCTTCACAATATAACACCATTGTCTGCAATTAGGATTCTGGCTCTACAAGTATATGTGTCCACGTGAATTGAAACTCTTAAATGTAACAAGGAATGTCTGCTGCAGATAGCTGGTCTATATATGTGAATGACCAGATGTTTGTTGACATCTTCAGTATGGTTTTTTGGAGGGTAGGGGAAGAGCAGCTCACTGGGGTATTTAATTGGACACTGGCAAGGAACAACTGGAGTGATCTTTGATGTTTTCATGCATTCTAGTGATTGGCTTGTCTCAGTGGGGTTTTGCTAGTCTTTTGCTGAAGGGAGATCTCCAATATCTATATTGGATTTATTTTTTTGCCAACAGCATTGCCAGTGCTGGGATAATGCCAATAGACTGGACACAACCAACCTTTGTGGTCCTTTTGCGGGCAATTGGAGGGCTTTAAAGGATGTAGTGGTTGTTTTGGCCCCTTAGTTTTGCAGAAAGACACATCACATTGTTGAAGATCAGCATTTTTGTGGTCAGACTTATATAATCGGGATGAAACCAGAGGCAAAGAATAGGTTCTGGGGGACAATATGCAGCCTGCATGCCATAGATTGATCATCTTTGCACCAGAGAAAATTGGAAATAAGAAAAATTCCACTCGTTCTTCCATCAGGAATCTCCAATGGATCCACATTCCATCCATGAACAGAAATGCTCTGTTTAGAAAGAACCAAGACTAAAGCACATCGCTTGTTCAGAATTTTCAAATTCTTCCTAAAAGTTTAATTTTTTGCTTTGGGTTTTATCACCTTCTACCCAGGGAAATAGCAGTGGACACAGTAAAGACTGGAATGAGAGGAAAAGCTGGAAACAAAGGAGCAGTTGCCATCCGTTTCCAATTTCATTGCACCAGCTTATGCTTTGTGTGTAGCCACTTGACAGCTGGTCAGTCTCAGATAAAAGAACGGAACGAAGACTATAAAGAGATCACTCAGAAACTGAGTTTCCCGATGGTAAGGTCTGGGGAAAGTTCCATTTACAGTGATGCTGAATTTGCACATGGAAGCACCCAAGTGCATGTGATTTTTATTTTACCCAAAGTTACCTTTTTACACTCAGCATGTTCATGTAAGGTGTGCTCCCTGTTACCAGTCACTTTTTGCATAGGTCATTCATTCATTCATTCGATTCTTTAAACATTTAAGTCCTGAACAATACATTTTAATAGGTCAATTCCTTACCTACCAGCCAGTAGCATAAAACTAATAGAGGCAGTAGGAAAGGTTAGGAATTGGGGAAAAAAGAAGAGAAAGTGTTCTAGAATGCAGCAGTTTAAGTAGATATTCTTGCCAGTATGATTCCAGATGCAATTCAAGGTGCTTGCTATCCCCTTTAAAGCACCTTGAGAAATTTTAAGATGTGTGGACTTCAGTTCTCAGAATTCTCCACTCAGCATGCTAGACGGGGAATTCTGGGAATTGAGGTTTACACATCTTAAAAGTGTCAAAATTGAAAAACACTGGTCTAGACATTTGGGGAACTACTTTCTCTCTTTCTGCCTACCTGTAAAAATTAAGAATGGCTCAACCCAGGCCCCTTCCTCTTAGGGAGTGTAATCTACAGCAGGGGTTCCCAACCTATGGGCCACAGCCCTAGACCGGGCCATGGCCTCTTGGCTAGCGGGCTGCGGAAATGGCTGGCCGGTGCACACATGTGTGGGTGCACATTCCTCCCACTCGCGCTAGTGCCTGCGGCCCCATTTGCACATGCACACAGGCACAAACCTGACCGCTAATGCCAGGTGGGTGTGCACGGCCCGTTTGCGCATGCTGCATGCATGAACGAGGATGCTAGTGCCGCGCCAGTGCACATGGCCCCATTTGCGTGCGCACACTAATTTTGAAGCTTCTCTCCTTCCCTCTGGACCGTGAGCCCAGAAAGATTGGAGACCTTTGATCTACAGCAGTGGTTCTCAACCTTTCTAATGCCGCGACCCCATAATACAGTTCCCCGTGTTGTGACCCCCAAACCACTTATACATCACCGGGTGCCAGGGGCGTGGCCAAAGAAAAGGGGAAAAAATGGCGGACAGCCTTGTTTGGTGGCCCCCGTGAAATGGTCATTCGACCCCAAATGGGGTCCCGACCCACAGGTTGAGAACCACTGAACTACAGGGACTTTGAAAGTGTGCGTTTTCAGCTGCAGCCTCTTTCTTTGCAGTAGCTTGCTTGCTAACATTAAAATCTTCCCTTCCCTCCCGGTTTTCAGAAGACCCATTAAAATGAAGCTGTACCATTAGACCCTCAGGACTGGAATGATATTATTAGGAAGGATATTTTAATTTTTGATCCATGGATTATGGGATTCCTTTTTAAAAATATTTTTGTTTTTTCACCCATTATTTTATTGCTACTATTGATATTGCTATTTTTAAATTAAATATTTTTAAATGTGTGTGTATAATTAGATATTTAATATTAATATTTGTATTTTGCTGTTTTATTGTGTTGCTGTGTACAAATGTTGCAGTTATTTGTGTTTTGCTACTGCCATTTTTATTACATTGTGACACTCAAACTTCATCTGAATTTATGAAGATGGGAATTTTGTACCATTCAGAGTCAACTTGAAATAAGAAATCAGTAATAAATCCCTTTAAGGGATTTATGCACTTGGGCCGGGGTTTATACCGCAACTTCAGACTTTCAAGCATATATTGTAAATACAATGTAGAGAATACAGGCTTTGAAACACAGAGATAGTGATAGCAAAAGAGACAAAAATATGAAATAAATACAATATGCATTGCCTTGTGAATGGTGGCCTTCATTAATATTTTTTACAAAGATTTTGCAGAAAATTAACTCAGAACATTTGATCTTGCCCTTTGTTAATTTGACCCCAGATCAGTTGCTAAATGTTTGATACATTCCTGCTGATTATATCCATAGCATTTAGAACCTGTCAAGATATCTAGAATTGTAAATTTTGGAGGCATTTAACTAAATTAACTAAAATTAAATTACCACATAGCAATGGAAGCAGAAATCAACACCTAATTTGTGGCAACTGATTGTTGATAACAGTTGTTTTTTAACATCCCAATTAATCTTTTTTCAGTGAGGCAGCAAAGAAGACTTTCAAGCAATATGATAAAGATTTTAATGCTGTTTGGTAGAGAAGATAATTTTGAGGCCTCCCGTTCCCTTAAAAGTGTGTTATGTTTATCCATGTTAATAATTTTAATCCATTAATGTAATGTACCTTTCACTTGCTGATTAACATAAACAAAATAAAACTGTAAAATAGAAGCTGAAATTCTTTTTTTTAATTAAAAGCTTTACAAATTTAATACAATATAAACCCCTCCCACCCGTTCCCCCCCTCCCCCACTTCCCAGAGCTGATTACAGGGTAACAAATAAACAAACATAATCTAACTAACATTAACCAACTATACTATCAATCAAAACCATAACACACTTTAACTCCTTTTCAAGACAAGTATTAACAAATTATAAACAAAAATAATAATATAATTAAAACTATTAATAATTATCTAAAATCTACTCATATGCAACATAATACTTTTCAGTTTCATATTTCTTTTGAATGTAATCAATCCATCTTCTCCAAACCATAATATATATTTCTTGTGAATGGTCCTTCAAATATGTGGAGATTTTCGCCATTTCTGCTAAATTAGAAACCTTAAGTATCCATTCTTCCATAGTAGGCAGAGAGTTTTTCTTCCAATATTGCCCCACTAATAATCTTGCAGCTGTTATAAGATCTTATAGAAGCTGAAATTCTAACCATAAGGAGCAAATTACAGAAAACCTTTCGTTTCCCTACAAAGCCTTGTTTCCTCTCCCCTCCCCCCAAACATTTTGTAGTTTTCAGAAAGAGGCTTCTGTGGCCAGCTGGGTCACAGATGAAATTTGATAATGTCATTAAGTCAGGTGGTAATGAAAGAAGGAAGCGATGGCTTCATGGTTATGAAAGGAAGTCTACTAAGACTTGGGTTATTTCTAATTAAGTACTGCATATTCACTTAAATTTCTGAAGTCCTTAACTTGTTTTACTGGTGGAAAGAATGCAATATTTTTTATAAATTACAAATTACTCCCATTTCCACTGAACATGCTTTTACCGCGCATTGTTATTAATTCTCAGAATTTAAGAGCAATGACAAACCATGCTATAACCCTTAAAACTTTAACGTCTCTCTTTCTAAAATCTTATGGCAAAGAAGAGGTTGATTTGCTATCATGACAAGTGGGTACTTCATTAGATTTTTCGTATCTGTGCACTTTTTCTTCTTCAAACATTTCTTTAAAGATTAAAAGATGTTTGTAGCTACTGGTATTTCTCTGTTTCCAGGATTCAGAGTATAACTCAGACATTCATGGGCTTAATGCCTTTAAAAGATGCTTTCAATTCTTGCAGAATAATTCTTATAAATGCCCATACCAAACATTGCCTAATTAAGCAGTTTATATTTGCAAAATTACATTGGCAAATTCACCTTTATTATTATATAGCTTTATTAACAGCGCCCTCTAGTGATGCTTTGGTTCAGAACTTATTTTCTTTATGGTACCTTTCCAATAATATATGCAGTATCTTTTAGATTGTTTAGATCAGGGGCTCTTAGTCTGAGATCACATAGGGGTTCATGGATTGATGCTAGGAGCCTATGAACTTGGATTAAAAAAAATCTAACTTTATTTCAGTTAACCTCTAACTAAACAAAAATAGCCAGTTTGGTATGGTGGTTAAAAAAATCAAGCTAGAAATGAGGAGACCTTGAGTTCTAGTTCTAGTTTCTTAGACACAAAGGCAGCTGGGTGACCTTGGGCCAGTCACTTTCTCTCAGCCCTAGAAAGTAGGTAATGGCAAGCCACTTTCGAAAAACCTGCAGGGTTTGGTCCAGGCAGTGAATGGAAGAAAAAAACAACAAGTCTTTATATATAACTGAGTTGATGAAGAATTTTAAAATGTTGTAGTTTAATGATTTTTTTTCTTGAACAGGGAAGAAGTATGTTTTCTCATGACTATGTTTTCTGGTGTGGTGATTTCAACTATCGCATTGACTTGACTTATGAAGAAGTATTTTATTTTCTTAAACGACAAGACTGGAAGACTCTCCTGGAATCTGATCAACTGCAGCAACAGAAATCTAGTGGAAAGGTAGAGATGTTACACTTAACGGTTATTTGATCAAGATTTGTGACCTACTCTGCTGGCATCCCACAAGCAAAATCAATGGGGAAGCCGCAGGGAAGGTCACAAGTTGCTCAGGTAAGTCTCCCCCACCTGCACATCCTCCCTCAGGCCCTCTGCTCTTGAGCCCTGCCTCACAAGCCACAATCACTCCCTTATGTACCTTTCCCAACCTTTCTGCACTCACTCTGCGCCTCCTATGCCAATTGTACATCCCCCCAGAGCATTGCTGCACCCGCCACTCACATACCCTCACACATTTCCCTGAACCTCACTGTGCTTGTGCCTCCCCTGCCATATACCCCCATGCATCCTCCCATACCCAGCTGCAGCCACCTCAAACCCTAATGCACTCACCACCTGTGCACTCTCCCTGAGTTGTGTACTCACTCCACACCTCCCCAACCACTCATGCCCCTTCCCCGTTGCGTAGCAGACACTCTAAGCCCCACCATGTTCAAGCCATGGCTCTCTGGCCACCTGATTGTCATCACTAAGCAATATGACTGCATCACTTAGCAATGGAAATTCCAGTTCCCATTGCTGTCATTACTTGAGGCAAATGAAAAACACTTGTATTATTGCAACTGAAATTTGATCAATATCCACGCTGCTATTTTACAACAGTTTCTTTTCCGAGTTATTAAAAATGGAAGTATTTTGGAGGATCTTCAAAGTTTAAAATGATGCTTCTAATTTATTAGTTTGCATATATTGCTGAAGTTGTGTTGTTTTTATTTATATTTACAGAGTTAATTATAGCATGTATGTTTTATTGTGCTGTTCTTTTTATGATTGTGCTGTAAACCATTGAAAGCCTTCCCAGTGGATACAGAATGAGATGAGATGAGATAAAATGATGTGCATGGCTAGGTCTATAAACCTTATTTTAGATTAACAATATTTTCTTCAATAGATTTTTAAGGACTTTCATGAAGGAACTATTAATTTTGGTCCCACATATAAATATGATGTTGGCTCTGAGGCTTATGATACAAGCGATAAATGTAGAACTCCAGCATGGACTGACAGAGTTCTTTGGTGGAGGAAGAAACTTCCAATTGATAAAACAGGTTGGTGGGATCCTTTTTACTCTTTCCTGGGGGATTCTTTAGCTTACCTTAGTGAAGGGATCTTCAAACTTGGCCCTTTTATGACTTGTGGACTTCAACTCCCAGAATTCCTCAGTCATTATGCTGTCTGGGGAATTCTGGGAGTTGAAACCTTCACGTCTTAAAGTAATCAAGGTTGAGAAACAGCGGGTTTGGTTTATAATGTTCAACCTAAAAATCAGTGCTCAGTTCTGAAACTTCATAGTTTCAGAATTTTTGCATAGTTTTGCAAAGGACACTTTTTTATTAATGGAATGTAGTTCACACCACTGAGAAAATATTCCTTGGGAAGGCAGGATACTGATCTAAGAAATAATCCAGTGGTTCTTTTATTACTTATAATATTTACTTGTGTGCAGAAAGTTAAGAATTTTACTTACTAACTTAAATACTAGGGATAGTTTTATTCTGGTTTCTATCAAACTACCAATTTTTTAGTTATATTTCATCCTTAATTAGTTTAAACATTTTCTGTCCTCGGTAATCCCAGAAGGCCTTTTTTTGTACCCAAGACATTTGGGAAATGTTGTTTTGTGTCAGCTCCTATATATATGCAATAGAGAGCCCAGATTATTGCTTTAACTTCATGAGTGGTCATGTAAACTATGAACTTACTGGAATTGGTATTATTTATCATATTCTATTGTAACATATTCTATTACTTGTTCTGCTGCAAGACTCCTGTAATATAATTGTGTTAATTTACATCCTTCCTGTCTACTTAATGCCATATGAATGATGAGCTATCATGTAGCAACATAGCTATTCAAAATAATGGTGAGTTTGTTTAAGTTTGATTTAGTGAAGGGGTTTGTGCATCTCCTATAGTTCTTTAAATCCTGATTAATGGCTTAAATAAAAAAGAAACTACCTCAGCCATTGTGCTTTGCTGTTACGTGTGAATCAGGCACATGGTTCTGGATCAATGCTCGAAACTTTGCCTTAATTATTCTTAATTCTAAATGTGTTATTTTGTTTTTTCACAGCAGGACAAGTCAGTCTTCTTGACAGTGATCTCAGCGTTGAAACCAAAGTCAGACCCATTTGGTCTCCTGGTGCCTTGATGTATTATGGAAGAGCTGAGCTCCAGGCCAGTGACCACAGGTACCATCTTCTTTTCTGGAGTGTCATGGAACACATGTTTTGCGCTTATAAATAGCAATAGCACTTAGACTTATATACTGCTTCACAGTGCTTTACAGCCTTCTCTAAGCGGTTTACAGAGTCAGCCTATTGCCCCCAAGAATCTGGATCCTCATTTTACCAACCTTGGAAGGATGGAAGGCTGAGTCAACCTTGAGCCGTTCAGGGTCGAACTCTTGGAGTGAGCAGTGAGTTAGCCTGCAGTACTGCATTCTAACCACTGCGCCACCACAGCTCTTAAAACTCAGACGTCACAGATAGCTTCTCCATTTAAAGTGATCTCTTTTTATGACCCCAGAAAATCACTACTGGGGGGAGCAGAATAAATAGAATTGGGCTAGTTGAACCAAAGATTGATTCATTATAAAACAACTAAATTATCACAAATATTGACCATTGCTGAGAGGCTAAAATAACTTCTGAAGTTATGATATTCCTTAGTTCGGATCAATGAAATCCTTTAGTCATTTAAAGATTTAACCTGCAAGATTTCTGAAATGAATCTTAAGTTGATTCCTGCTAAACATGACATGGACAGTGTAGATTTGAAGCCTGTTTCCTCCACCCCCTTTTAAGTATAAAAATAAGCAAAAATGGCCAAAAGTACAATGGATACCCCTGTTAAAATGCCAGGCTTTAGAGATATATAAAAAAAATCAGACAAAGATAGATAAATTACTTTAGAATTTTTCTATCTTTATTTATTTATTTATTTTATTTATTTATGAGACTTATATACCGCTTTAAGTGCAAGCACTCTCTAAGCGGTGTACACCAGTAAGCAATGTATATATATATTTACATTGCCCCCAACAATCTGGGTCCTCATTTTACCTACCCCGGAAGGATGGAAGGCTGAGTCAACCTTGAGCCGGTGGGATTTAAAATAGCATATAGGCTGTATGATTCAATTGAAAAACATACTGAAATCTTTTATGGGGGAAAATAACAAGTTAATATGCTATATCAAGGTGGAAAAATTCTGAAGTGATTAATCTTGGTCTGATTTTTTTGCATCCCAAAAACCTGACATTTTAACAGGGATGTGTAGATGTTTTTTATATCCCCTGTATATGATGATATCACGGCTTAAACAGTGACCTTTTAGACCGGTGACCTGACATTAGAAACAGAGTCACAGGGGTTGCATTGTGAAGTCACAACAACACAGTCATTTGTCACAGAGACATCTGTGTCCTCCTAAAATGTTTATTTGGCTATCAGATTAACTAAAAGACAAGTACTAACAATAATATTAACTCAATCAGCTATTCTTAGTGATTGTGTGAAGCTGGATAATCATGGATCTTCTGTGATAGATGTACTGGACTATTCTGAATCTGTGTTTAGTCCTACTCTAGTCATGCTAGTGCATTTTTTTTATTATATGTTGGTAACACATGCCTCAAATCTGATAATTCAAATTGAAAAACAGTATCATCAAAATTGGCAGAGCTTATAGAAAAATAGTCTATACACGTGTTTATATATTTGTGATGTGGGGCTGGACTTTGTCTTAACACAGTGGTGGCGAACCTTTTAGAGACTGAGTGCCCAAACTGCAATCCAAAACCCACTTATGTATTGCTGGGTGCCGGGTAGGCGTGGCCCATTGGGTGGGTGTGGCTGTGGTGGTCATGGCAGACTGAATGGGTGTGGCCAAAGTAGGCATGGTCACCTTAATGTTGCTCGTGTGGAGGGACACCTGTGGGGACCGGGCAGGGTTGGGGGAGATCCAGGGGGTCTCTGGCAGGTGGGCCGGTGGGCAGGAGAATCGTCCTGCGGGGTGAGGCAAGGCAAGGTGAGGCAAGGCGGGGGTGCCATTGTCGCAAGGCAAGGCGGGCCAGGACGGCTGCTGCCTGACACCATTGGCCCCCGCACACAGAGGTCAGTGAGTGCATGGGGGCCAACAGTGTCCGTCAGCAGTCACAGCCTGCCAGCCCCTCAACTGGTGTACTCTGGGGCTCCACAGCCCGCTGCCAGCAGTTCAGAGATGCCGACTCTGAGCCGGACGGCCAACCGACAGCTGAGGAGGCGATGCAGTGGATCATGCCCGGGAAAAGGAGAGCATTCGAGGCCAGGAGGGATGGGACGGGGGGGAGGGAAACCAGCCGTGCTGGGATGCATCCGGCCACATGGGACCTCGGCAAGTTAGCAGTGGCTGGTTGAAAAGGGACGGTTGCCATCTCTAGGGCATGGCACGTGCCCACAGAAAGGGCTCTGAGTGCCGCCTCTGGCACCCGTGCCATAGGTTCGCCACCACTGTCTTAACAGCTGAATTATCCATTTAACCTCACAACAATATTGCCATTCTTTGCAATTTTAGAAGGAATTCCAGGGGAGATTTCCATGTTATCTCTTGAACAGTAGCATTTTGCCAAGTTCTCGGGAACATCAAGGCTTTTATAGATCTTATGGATAATGATGCTCCAACATTTTCACGCTTCTTTGTGGAATCACTATATAGAATATTCCTATATCAAAATTCATTTCTTGTTTCTTACGGAAGCAATTTTGGAGCAGAAATGGTAGACCTGTCACTTACCTTTGTCACACTGCTTACAGCTGCTGGAAGATTTAGCTAGCAATAGCTGGAGGGCCTAATCCTAACCTGCTGAATGTCATTCTTCATTCTTGTATATGTATTTAAGTTGCATATGAACTTGGACATATGTGGACACAATCTGAGAACTGGGGGGAAAAACTACATTGTATGCAACAGAATACCTCTGCCAAATTAAATAATGGAGTAATTGTTAGGATTGTTTTATTGTGTCTGTGGACTCCTGGAAATTGTGTGGAGTCAACTTGGGTAGAGAAATCAAATAATTTCAAGCCTCCCTGTGGCTACTTATTCATTGTCTTTTCCCCTATTAGGCAATTATTTATAGGATCAGCTATTTTTTCATTTTTAAACAGAGACGTAATATGCTACATAAATTATGCGGAAAAAATTGTTTGAGAAACCAGGTAATCAAACAGTAATATTAAGCAGATCTACACAACTGATTTTCAATAACCTGTCAGCATTTTATCTCTTGTCCTCTTATCTACTTTCTGTAATCCTTTTTAACTTTTTTTCTTCACTTGCTATCTCTCTGTAGGCCTGTTTTAGCTATTGTGGAAGTGGAAATGCAAGAAGTTGATGTGTCTGCTAGGGATAATGTTTTCCAGGAAGTATCATCATTTCAGGGACCTCTAGATGCTACAGTGGTGGTGTCTCTATTGTATTGTTCCCCTGAAGAGAAAGATGAATTTCCTGAGGATTGTCAAATGGAGCTTATGCAAATCTTTGAGACTTATGGCACTGTTGTGCTTGTCAGGTAAAATATGATGCTCATTTTAGAAAATAATCTTTGGATCTTAATTTTGAAGAGAGCTTCCCCTCATGGAATGAGACTCTTCGTATATAAGGAATTGTTCCATTAATATAATTCCAGAAGAAGAGTGGGTTATAAATTTATCAAGCAAATAATAAACTCTTCTTTTATTAATAGGGTTTCCTTAAAATTGTGGAGTAAAAAGTTAGGGATCCATGCCAGTAAAATATAATGCTGTTAGAGAACATTAATGGCTGAAAACTTGTTAATGTAATAATAGTTCAATAACAATTAATGAATGTTCAATTATTAACCCACCATTTTTAAGAAGAAACAACTCAGTTTTCTATCTACTTATTTGATGGCTGATTAGAAATTAGTTCTGTCAAGAGTTTATTTGATCTGTGTCTATTCTTGTTAGGATCAAGGGAGATCAAATGTTGGTTACATTTTCAGACAGCAGATCTGCTCTTCACGTTCTTGATGTGGATGGCATCAAGGTAAAAAAAAAAACCAATTAAAGCTCTTGTACTATTTGGAATACTTGAGTGACCAAGTAAATCCTCTCACGGTGGTTATTTTGTTGAGAGAAAACCAGCCAACATTAACGGTTGGCCTTGCTGGTGGCAAATATAGACATCTTTCTCATATAGAACTGACATTTTCCTGAACCCCAGCTTGTAGTTTTAGGTGGATCAGCTTTTCAAAATGTTAGCTGTTAAAATGGTTTCCAAAGAATTGATCTGAAAATGTCAAGTTGTTAGACCAGAAAACACCTCTAACCAAGAAGATTCCTTTGAAACTTCAATGAATAAATTCATTCTCCAGCATGTAGAAGAATGTAGACTCCACGCATGGGTTGATTTAGTCTTCTAGCCCATATCTTTAATTGATACCTTTTCGGCCAAATTGTCTCTATTACAGTGGGCCTGAAAAATTGAATGGGGAGGACAGCCCCTGAGCGTAGCGCGGCTTATATTGCGTAGTGACTCCGTGCTTAACGGTGGGCCGGACCTCACAGACCCTCGTGCAGGCCTGTACCACCCAGGTGGGCCATGGCCTTCCTTTCTCCTGCAGACCAAGGGCCGATCCAGGGATCTCCTGGTGAAAACCTGCCCTTTCTTCTCCTGCAGAACAGGACTGATCCAGGGATCTCCTGGTGACAACCTGTCTTTTCTTCTACTGCAGTACAGGCCAGATCCAGGGATCTTCTGGTGAACACCTGTTGTTTATTTCCTATTGTTTATTTCAATATGGCAGATAACACCGTTTCACAGGCTTCCACCTCCAGTGGAAATATAAAACGCAAGCCATCCAGTCTGGATACACCTGCAAAAGCCAAGGCCAAGGTCAAACGGACCTCTAAGGCCGATGACAAGCAAGCAGATAGCAGACATGGGGTGCTGGAGCAACAATTCTCCAAAGCCCAGCGGCAGACAGGAGTGACGCAGCTTATCCCCTCACCTCCTCTTGCATCCATATCAGGGGAGCATCGACCTTCCCCTCTTACACAGGCTTGGTCTCCCGAGCAGACCCTGGACCAGGGTTCCTTGCTGGGATATGAACGGGACCATCTGTCCTTCTTTGACCGAGAATTGAGATTACAGGTCCAAGATTCAATTCCAGCTGCTGAGCCAGGACCTTCCTCAGTGTCTTGTGGGTCTCAGGGGGAGGTTACTACAATCGTCCCTCCCCCAATCCCTTCAGCATCTTTCAAGTCGATGGCGGCGGGTCTTCGGGGCCCCGAACATCCTTCATTTACTGTCCAGCTCCAAGCCATGATCTCACAGGCGGTGGTTCAGGCAATGGCGGCTTCAGGGAGGGCCATTCCGGTCCAAGGACCATAAACCCCCCCTACGCCCATGGAAACTAGGCATCCCAGGGAGTATGTGATTTCAGATCACGGTTCTCCACCTCAATCTGAAGGGAGCGAGATATCAGATTTTTCTGCTCAGATTCCGGAAGAAGGCATGTGGTCAGACGGGGAAGACATTCAGGCGGAGGCCACTCCTATGGCAGGGGTGTTTAATCCAAATTCCTTCTATCCTCTTTTACAAAAGGCCTATGTCACTGGAAAAATTGAACCCGTGAAACCACAGACGACCGATCAGGACTGTGGACAGAGTTCTGACCCACTGTTTCTGGAACCGGTCAAGAAGAACCTATAGATACCTTGCCCCCCTATGTTTCTCAAATCCATTCAGGATCAGTGGGGATCTCCTGGAAGTTTCTCTGCTCTTGGGGGATTAGATCGTAAGCTCTTAGATACGGTCCCTTCCCTCAACAATGTCGAAGTTCCAAGTGTAGACAAGGCTCTCGCCCCCATACTGTCAGACACCAAAATCCCAGGAGATATGTCGGAGGCCTTTAAGGCTGAGGACAAGAAGTCTGAGATTTCCCTCAAAAGGACCCATCAGGCATCGGTTTGGGCTATAAGAGCCTCAACATCTAACTCCTTTTTCGCTAGAATTGCATTAATCTGGCTCAGGGAATTACAGGCCATATTATCCCCAGACGAGGTAAGGGTTCACCAGGATGTCACTAAACTAAGGGGCGCACTGGAATACATGGCGGATGTGTCTCTGCAGTCGGCCAAATATTCGGCTCGGGCCATAGCTTCCAACGTGGCCGCACGCCGGTTGTTCTGGCTAAAAAATTGGAAGGCCGATACCAGGCACAAATGGAGAGTAGCTGCGGCACCATATCATAAGGGTCGCCTTTTTGGAGAGGCTCTCACTCCTTACCTGACTGAAAACAAAGAAAAGTTGAAAGTACTAGCTCATGTTGTCAAAAAAATGGGCAGACGTTTTTCTCCATACAACCGGCGTCCGTCGTTCAAGTCTGGCTCAGACCGAACTACATGGAGCGGGTATCGGTCCTTTCAAGCAGAGCCGGACCGCTCATCGGACCGGTCCGGCTACAGAGACAAACCAAAGCCACAATTCCAGGCTAAGAGGCCCCTTCCCGGCAGAGGAGCTCGTCCTTTCCGAAAGTCAAAGTGACTTGAGGCGGATTCCTCCCATTGGCAGAAGACTGGCACTATATTTCCACAAATGGGAAAGTACCACCACGGACAATTGGGTTCTAACCACTATCAGAGACGGACTGTCTCTGGAGTTCCTCACACTCCCATCTCGGCGCTTCATCTCCTGCCCCCTATCCAGAAATCCCATGAAACAAGGTCTCATGGAGGAGGCCATTTGTCATCTGTTAAGCATAGAGGCAATAGAGCGGGTAACCCCAGATCAATGGGGACTGGGTTTCTACTCCATCCTGTTCGTGGTACCAAAACCCTCAGGAGGATGGAGGGCGATCCTAGACCTCAAGGCTCTAAATCAGATTTTACCTCAGATTCAGGTATTCCAACCATCATTATCAGTACAGGGCCCTGCCATTCGGCCTATCATCAGCTCCAAGGGTTTTCACCAAAATCCTGGCGGTTCTCGCCGCACAGCTCAGGTTGGTACCAGTCCGTGTTCAGTGCTACTTGGACGATATCCTAATCCAGTCGTCCTCGGCACTGAACGCCTGTTCAGATGTGGCACTGACAATCAAGACACTCCAGGATCATGGATTTATGATCAACTTCCCAAAGAGCCATCTGATCTCAACAAACCGTTTGCTCCACCTAGGCGCAATAATAGACACCAGCCAGTGCCGAGTTTTCCTGTCTCAGGAGCATCAGCTCAGCATACATACGATGGTCACCAGGGTGCGCAAGGAGAAACGTGTAATCCTGCTCCTGCTGTCACAGCTGTTAGGGAAACTGATCTCATGTATTGCCATAGTGCCTTGGGCCAGGCTTCATACGAGACAATTACAGTGGTTTCTACTCCCTTACCAGAAACGGGGTGTAGCATGTTTTCCACAGAGGGTGCGAGTCCCACCACAGACACTCACGTCCCTCACCTGGTGGTTGTCCCCAGCACTGTCCAAAGGATCCCTGTTCAGAGAACCGACTCGGGTAACCTTGACCACAGACGCCAGTCTGTTTGGATGGGGGGGCACATCTGCAATCTCAATTCGCCCAGGGACGGTGGTCTCAACGGGATCTCAAGAAAAATATCAATTGGTTAGAGCTCAGAGCCATACACCTAGCACTTCGCCATTTCCACAAGAAGTTGGCGGGCCGCCACGTGCTGGTTCTGACAGACAACGTGGCGGCAAAGGCCCATGTCAACAGGCAGGGCGGCACTCGATCACGGATTCTAATGTCCGAGGCCCAGTGTCTGGGGTCAAGGGCGGAACAGAATCTGTTGTCCCTAAAGGCAGAACACATTTCAGCGGTGGAAAACGACCAGGCAGATTTTCTGAGTCGATCTACGATAGATCATTCAGAGTGGCGTCTACATCCCCATCTCTTTCGGGAGATAACTCACCATTTCGGTCGGCCCAAAGTCGACCTGTTTGCATCCCCGAAGAACACCCAGCTTCCCCGGTTTCTATCTCGGTACCCATCCCAGGGTTCGGAAGGAGCAGATGCCCTCCGCAGCCCTTGGCCGGCGGGCCTTCTATATGCATTTCCACCCCTTCCCTTGATCCTGGCTGTCATCAGGAAGCTGTTACAGGAACAGGCGGAGCTAATCCTTGTGGCCCCTTATTGGCCGAGGCGTCCATGGTTCGCAGATCTCGTGAACCTCGCCGTAGCCTCCCCTTGGCAAATCCCTCCAGAGAGGATAATTCTAACACGGGGGGCCATATGCCATCCGAACCCACAGTGGCTACAACTAGCCGTCTGGTATCTGAGCGCCAGTTCCTGATGTGCGGATCTTACTCTTCAAGGGTGATAGCTATGATCCAAGCTTCCAGACGGCCGGCGATGAACCGAATCTATGATGCCACTTGGAAGAAATTGTGTGACTGGTGTACCTGTAAGGGTTTGTCTATCTCCTCTGTCACTATCCCAGTGATTCTTGAATACCTCATGGATGGAGTGGATAAAGGCTTAGCGCCCAACACCTTGCGTAGACAGGTGGCCGCTCTTTCCACGGTGTTCACCTGTGCCAACGCCACTCCATTGTCCCATCATTCCAGGGTCCGATCCTTTATGAAAGGAGTCTCCAACACCAGACCTCCAGTAGTACACAGGTATCCATCTTGGGAACTACCTCGTGTTCTGCAGGCACTCACTAGGTCTCCTTTGAACCTATAAGGTCTTGTCCTCTTCACATTTTGTCCCACAAGGTGGCTTTCCTAGTAGCCATCACGTCGGCGAGACGCGTGTCAGAGCTGGCTGCTCTTTTAGTTAGGGAAGACCTGTGTACCTTCTATCAGGACAGAGTGGTGCTGAGGTTAGATCCCTCATTCATTCCCAAGGTGAATACCCTGTTTCACCGGGCTCAGGACATTGTACTACCAAACTTTTGTCCCAATCCTTCTCACACACTAGAAAAGCAGTGGCATTACCTAGATGTACGTAGGGCATTACATCATTACATTAAGAGGACAGCTTCCTTTCGCAAATCGGAGGCATTGTTTGTCTCTTTCCACTCAACTTCCAAGGGACAGAAGGTTTCCTCCTCTACTATAGCCAGGTGGATCAAGGCCTGTATCGCTCAATCTTACCAGGCTTCCTCTTTACCTGTCCCAAGCCGCCTGACAGCGCACTCTACTCGTAGCGCTTCCACATCGGCGGCGTGGCAGACTCAGGCGTCCATAGAGGACATCTGTAAGGCGGCTACGTGGTCGTCCCCTTCACCATTCATTCACCATTACAAACTCGACAAGTTTGGCTGTCGGGTTTTACAACAAGTGGTCCATTTCAGCATCGACACTTAACCAACCTGCTTCCCACCCGTGGGATCAAAGGGGCTTTGGTATGTCCCATGCGTGGAGTCTACATTCCTCTACATGCTGGAGAAGGGGCGTTGTCTTACCTGAACGCCTTTTCTCAGCATGAGGAATGTAGACTCCACCCCCTCCCTGATTATTACTAGCAGCTAGGTTAGTGTCAGCAGTTCGGAGCCATCTCGTCACACAATCATTCGCTTCGCCCTTTCGAAAACTGGGGCATGGTCAGACCCTGCAGAGGCGTGGCAACTTTGATTGTTTGCTCTGATTGGGCTAGAAGACTAAATCAACCCATGCGTGGAGTCTACATTCCTCATGCTGAGAAAAGGCGTTCAGGTAAGACAACGCCCCTTTATAATGTAATGAGCTTTTATATGGATGTCATGACATAATTTGTTACTTTTTTTTTATTGAAAATTTTTAAATATTTTTACAAAAAGCAAAAAACAAAAAAACAACCCTAACCCACCCACCCCAACCCTCCCTCTCCATCCCCCCCAACCTTCCCAGAGCTGAGTATAGGCTTGATTAAAATTTTTAAGAATCTTTAAAAAATTGAAAAAGTATAAATCATAAATATATTTAAATACCTTAAATAAACAACTTATAAAGTAATTAACAATAAAATATAAGTAAGAAAAAAGCGTAAGTATTAAAAAGAAAAAGTACTTGAAAGAAAAAGAGATAATAAAAAAAGAAAAGAGAAAGAAGAAAAGAGATATAAAAAGAGTACAATCTATAAAATATTAAAATGTATATACAAGTTATTAAAAAGCTAAATGATATTTTTATATCCAATTTATATTGTATAAAATTTATCCATTTTTCCCATACCGCAAAGAATTTCTCTTGCGATTGCTCCTTTAAGAAAGCCGAAATCTTTGCCATTTCCGCCAGAAAACACCTCTAACCAAGAAGATTCCTTTGAAACTTCAATGAATAAATTCGTTTATAATGTAATGAGCTTTTATATGGATGTCATGACATAATTTGTTACTTTTAATATGCCACCTTTTGCAGTTACTCCTCAAAAATCCATTTTTGTATTGTTTAGGGATTTGATAAAAACATCTGGAGGTTAATTTTTAAAAACTACATAATAGGTAACTGGAACACTGTCCATACTATAGTAGAAACTAAATTAGCTGCCTTTTAAGGAGGATTTTAGAAAATACAAATTGGGAAATAATTATTTACTAATTGATCACTAGAGAGAATTTGGCAATCGCTGTCTATTTATAAGTGGTTTTTTGTCCTGATACATAAGGAAACTTCTTCTTCTTCCATTATCAGTAATAATGATACAAATAGAGAAACAGAATTTAAAAAAAAACATGGAATCCAAGCTATTTAGCTTAATTGCTTCCAGTTTTTTTCTTTAAATATTGGCATACGAATGAATGGCACTCTGTTAAAACCAATTATTGATACAACGATATATCCCTGAAAAAGTCAAATATCTCTAATCTGCAATAGTACTAATGCTCTTTAAATATATACCGTAAATGCCGGCGTATAAGACGACTTCCGCGAGCGCTGAAATCGGCGCCAAAGACGGGGGTCGTCTTATACGCCGGAAATACTGGTAGTTTCCGGCGTATAAGATGACGTTCTAGGAATGCGGCCCGGCTATAAAGACGGGGGTCGTCTTATACGCCGGGTCACCTAATACATCGGCATATACGGTATTAAAGTCTTTTGTCTTCAATTCACTGAACAGACTACAGGTATTCCTTGACTTAAAACAGTTTATTTAGTGACCGTCCAAAGTTACAAGTGAACTGAAAAAAGTGATTTAATGACTGATTTTTCACACTTACGATCGTTGCAGCATCCCCAGGGTCACATGATCAAAATTAAGATGCTTGGCAATTGACTCGTATTTGTGACGGCTTCAGTGTCTCAGGGTCATGTGATCACCTTCTGCAACCTTTTTACATGCAAAATCAGTGGGGAAGCCAGATTCACTTAATAACCATGTTACTAATTTAACAACTTCAGTGACTCACTTAACAACTATAACAAGGTCGTAAAACGGGGCAGAATTCATTTCACCAATATTACACTTAGCAACAGAAATGTTGGGGCTCAATTGTGATAGTAAGTTGAGGACTACCCCCCCCCCATTGCTTTGCTTTGTGTTAATATCTGGGTCTTGCTTATGAGTAATAGTTTGTTTTACTACAGGAAAAATAATGTATTGGGATTTTATGTCTAGATTAAAGGCAGGATTGTGAAGATTTGTCCTAAAACCAAAGATTGGCTGAAAGGCCTTCAAGAGGAAATTGCTAGGAAACGCGACAGTATTGCTCCTATGTCACCCACAGCAAATTCCTGTCTGCTGGAAGAAAACTTTGATTTTTTAAGTTTAGATTATGAATCAGAAGGTACGTGGCCTAAGATGTAGGTAAAAAGTATAAGGTTTGGTCAGGAGGGCTCTTTCTCCATGGAGGCTGACTAAGATGGGTTGCTATTCTCTTTGCAGATCAAAATAATTTGTAAAAAAAAACCCAATCCCCTTTGTTTTAGCTGAAATATTGGAAGAAAACAACATTTCTTTAACTTCCTCATTCCACTGCAACACTTTCCAATTTAGGTGATATCTTAGATGAGGAAGATGATTATTTGGATGAAACGTTGCGTCCCGGACCATTTGAAACAGAAACAGTATCAACAATGGAAGAATTGGGAGATGGATCAGAATATGTGAGCATGGCGTCTACCATACATGCAAACAAGTCACATGTCGCTGGAAGAAAACCATGTCTGTATAAAGGTATCCTTTCATGATGAAAGACAAATGAAGCCATAGTCATAAAAGTTGGTTGGGTCATTCAAAGAAGGCTTTTTTATTGGAATAAGTAAACCCAATTACGTAGACAAAGTTATCTCTATGTTACAGCTATTCAGATAATTAATGATATAATAGGTGTTTCCGTTAACGACTGAGACTTTGTGGGACAGGGAGATGTTGCCCTGGAGATATATCGTAATTTAATTTGAGCTCTTCTTAAGGATTAATGAGCAAACTTGATTACGGTGGTTTAGGTGTGTGAATGTCTATGCCATCCATAACTTTTGCCTTTACTGCTTTGGGGACGTTATTTGCACTCATATCGGTTTTGGAAATCTCTGTTATTATGCTTTCTGAGTCAGTCACGTAGCTCAAACTTTGTGCCATCATTCATGGAGGATTAGCAAAACAGGCCACTTGATTCCTGACTAATCTGCCTTATGACTAATTGTTTCACCACTAGGAATAACAGGAGGCAATGACTGGATCAGTTGCTTTAACTCTGATACATTGCTCTTTGATAGATGTCAATAATTGAATGTGGCTCAAAGAATCCTTGGGAATTTTCCCCATGAAGCAAACACATCTTAGGTGTTGTATGGTTATTTCTCAGTTTCCTTCCTTCCTGGTTAATTTCAGTGTCATCCGTTTTTCTCAGTAGCATTTTGTTTTTCTGTTTTTCTATTCTTTTTGCCATGTTCACTAGATGATGCTGACTTGGTTGAACTGAAACCAGAGTTTGAAGGAAGTGTGGAGTTCTGTCATCGCTCCCCAAACAGGTCTCTATCCGTGCCCGGTAGACCTCGGCAGCCTCAGCCTCCCCAGCGACCTCCCCCACCAGGTCAGAGTTTGTGTTTTTCCTCCAAGAACGTCTACTTGGTGCGGGGGAAAAAAATTCAAGTTTTTTGAAATGAGAGTCCTGAGTACATGAGGAAAGCAAGGTTGCAAATACTGTGCACAAGAATATTTCTGCATCTAATTTTTTCTAAATCCTTTGCCAAGAAAAGCTGAATTGGTGCCCTGTACAAAGAACATTCTGGAGAACCATTTCACACTGTTGTCCAAATTGTGCTTAAGTGGCAGGACATGAAATTGATTTGGTCAGTGATATCTGCATCTGTTTCTATCTGACTTTTTAGCTGGCTGTTGCATCTGCTTGAACTATATATAGGTAGTCCTTGATTTTACAACCACAATTGAGCCCCAAATTTCCATTTCTAAGCAATGTATTTTATGTGTTTTTCCTACAGCTGCAGTGCCCATTAAAAAATCCCCATCAGATGGTTCCATCTCTTCAGGAAGCTGCTCCTTGTCCTCCATTTTGGATACAGCAAAGCTTCTTCCAGGAGCACCACAGCACCCTGTGAGTAGTTCAGTACAATCATTTCAAGTACTGATAAGAAAAAAAAAATCACTTTACTCAGTATAATGTTAAACTAAGCTTCTCTTATGAGAAGCACCAAAATACCAAGAAGATCTTGAGCTCTAAATCACCACTACCAGCACTCTAAATAGGATATTTTTTTGGAAAATATAAGGCACTGAAATTTAGTGCTTTTGGGATTATTGGGACTGCCATAATCTCCAATGGCCATCTACCTGGGTTGATGGAAACTATCATTCATGTCCAGAGAGCACCAGGCTGGGGAACATTAATAGCTGCTCTGAATATGTTTAAGTAGAAATATGTTTAAGTAGAAACTAAACAAAGAATATTTTAATTAATAAATACATGTTTGGTGGCAGCAACTAAGGAAAGGAAAGGAATATATAAGAGGAGATGATCCTCTATATGCTAAAAGTTAAGTTTCATGAAGGCATATCGAGTAAAAAAATGATGATCCCCTGAAAAAAAACCCAAGGCTATTCTTATGTTTATATACTGCTTTATAGAAGGGACAGCTGTTGGGTTTATCTTCCCTCTAGACTCTCTTTTTATTTCTTTTCTGTTTTTACATTTTCCTGGAAGCCAAAATCACGAACTGGAATTAGTAAGCCGTATAACGTAAAACAGATCAAAACCACCACCCCAGAAGAAGCCGAGGAAGCTATTCGGTGTCTGATGCAAGCAAAAGGAGGTATGGCCAGTTTTCTGTTAGAAGCTTTGATGATATTTTTATTTAGAAAACAAAAAAATCAAACCCACAAGTATGGGATAAGAGCTACGTAGCTTGGTAATTGTACATGTTAAAAAGATCTGGGAATAGTGATCTGGCTCCAAAAAAGGCAAATGTAACTAGGTTACATCAATAGAACCATGGGAATTGTTCCACTTTATTTGGCTTTGATCCATGTCAATTATTGTGTTTGGCTTACGGCACTACAGTTAAAAAGGATTCAGAGAAACTGAGACAGGTTCAAAAAAAGCCAACGAGAATGACCTAGGGACTAAAACCTTGGACATACGGAAGGAGATTGAAGAAGATGGCATGATTGAAAAGTGAGGAAGACGGCTGAGCAGGAACACGACAGCACTCTTCAAATATTTGAAAACATGTCACACAGAAGAAAATTTACCATCTGTTCCCTCTCATTCAAAAGGCAGGATACAGAATAATGGACTGGTTACAGATTGCATTAGGAAAATTCTTATACGAAGAGCAATTTATCAGCAGAACTAATTCCTCAAAGGAAGTTCCTCTTCATTGAATGGGTTTAAATCAAAGCTGGATAGCCACCTTCTGGGATGCTTTGAATTGGAGTTTAAAAAGCTGAGAAGAAAGTCTTGGGATTGACAAGAAAGGGGCAAAATTGGCGTATCAGCTCTAACAGAACACCTACCGTAACTGAGTTCTTGCTGGAGGCACAGATGCTGGTGGATGTAGTAATACTAGTAACACGCCTAGGTTCTAGCAACACAGAGTGTCCCAACTATGGTCAAGTTCAGAGCATCCCAGAACATTATTCATCACTAGTATTGATAAAATTCTCAGGCGCTGGAAACTCTAGAAAATACACCTGAAGACCTAGAGCTCCACCAAGCAGTAACAGCCAAGAAGAGACCACCTCAGTCCAGAATCAACCAGTCATAACAAGCCAAAGGCAGAATAGAGAAGGAGGAGGATAGAGTTGTAAATCCAGAAAAAAGAGGCAAGTTAAGCAAAAGTTAAAGCATAATAGGTACACAAGCTTTATTAAAGAAAGTTGGCAAATAGCTTATATAATATAAAAAAATAGGATTAGAGAATGAAATAGGAAATAAAAGGTAGAATAGTAAGGCTTCAAAGATAGTATAGACAAAAATACTCTTTTCCAACGAAATCTGTGCTAATAAATTCCATTTGCACAGGAACCACCATTCTTCCTGTCTCAGTCTGGTAGCATCTCACAATCCTTCTCCCCAACTTTTCCTGAATTGAGTAATTAGGATGGGTTCCAGATTTAACTGCACCTAACACATTACTTTTAAGCACTGTTTAGTAAAGGTTGATTGTCATTTTAACATGTTGATTTTATTTCACAATATAGATGTGAACACTTAAAAAGTTAGGCACATCAACACATTTCCAACAAGAAACGCTTTGCAAAACATTTCCTCACATTCTGAATTGAGAAGGAAGCAGATGATGCTGAGAATGATTTTTCTATGCCAATAAAATAAATGGAAATTCAAATTGTTATTTATTCTTCCTTGGTTTATCAATTAGTAAGGCTGGTAAAATTAATTTTCTTTGATGTGCAATTTTCAGCCTAGGTGTTGGCAGGTTTTATACAAGCAGTAATATGTATTGTTAAAAACACGTTGTCAACGCTGCTACCATTGGATGTTCTTGCTTTGACAACATATGAAGATGCAGCCTTTTTCTTTCTTATACTTTATTCTTAGAATTAGATGATGCTGTGGGAGGAGGCGGAATGTGGTGGGAGTTAGCCATAACAATATTGTACTAGTGTGTGAATTCAGAGCTTGAAATAAGAGATGATAAGAATTGGCGGGTTAGAAAAAAGGAGGGAAAGCCTGCAATTCAAACTAATTGGAGAATGTGATTTATGACTGTTAATTGGAGGAGGGAATTGTGCTTTGATACTATGTGCTCAGGGGAGGGGAATTCAAATTTCGGCTTCGACCATGTACCTGCCGATGCCATGCAACTTGAATAAAGATTCCTTAAGTAAACAATGCCTCGAAGTTCTTTGAAGAGTTTCATCTGTCGGAACCATGACACACGTGCTACTTTGGATATATTGAATGCATTAAAGAAACCGAATGCATGCTTTTGTATTTCAGTGACACCCCAGGAATCCTTGGCTTCCATTCCGGCAAGAACTCAGACTGTGACTAAACCTGAATTCATTCCCGGTGGCCCAAAGCCAGCACCTCTTCAGGGCCTCCAGCCAGCCCCAGTTCTCATACCACAGCGCCCCCCACCTAAAGTCCCAGCTACAAAAAAACCTGCACCTTTGCAGAAGATGGGAGTTAAACCAGGATGTGTAAGTGACAGTGTAAGGCTCTTCCCTCTGCGCAGAAAGTGTCCCTTAATATAGATTGCATATTTAGTGTTTGCAAGTAAGTTACAAGAACTTCAGGGTTTTGGGGTTTTTTGTTTTTGTTTTGTCTCTGAGATATATTTGGAAAGACTGAACTTTAATGTCTTCCCTATAGACCTCCTCTAAAACAAGTGTAAGAAATACGTGCTGCCTTAACTGAGAGCTGAGGGAAGAACTGTGAAAACGCTTCAAGTTTTTCTTGTGATTTATGCAAGTGTACATTTTGTTAAACTGAACCCTTAATAGATTGGGGGTGGGGGAAATCTGATTCAAGTAGCGATATTCCAACTCAGGCTAAATCAAAATCTGAATTCTCCTGTAGCTTCATTGGTAATTTGAAATGTGGAGTGACAAGCAATCCATTTTAGAAATGCAACATAAGAGAAAACTCCTCCAGGGTTTGGAGAGGAAGAGAAGAAAACAAGAGAGATTGTAGTTTGTGATGGATTGTTTTAGCTTTGAACCCCAGAACTCTCCCAACACGGGGCTTTGCTGAAATGAATTTTGAAGTTATGCTAACTCTAACCCTCATGCGGCCACTGCTCTTCAGTTTTATCTCTTGATCTCAGGAACATTAAAATGAATATCTATGGGATTTGGAGGTAATTGCACATATTGTGGAGAGTTTGGGGCTATCGTTTTTTCTGAGTTGCACTGCGGTGCTGTATTCCATTTACATATTGATTATCAACATTTGCTTGGGGGGAGGAAAGGCAGAGGGGGAGAAATGGGAAGCAAATAACTCTCCACTTCCAAACTGTCAAGTCTTCCCTTCTATTAAAAAAACAAGCCCACTGCACCTCTGCTTTTAAATTTCTGCAGCTTTCTTACCTTCATTCTGCATGTCATGCTCCAACAATTGTAGACATAAAACAAAAGATTCTCAGGGTAAAGGAATGGTGTACCTTGGTACCTTTAAAGATGCCTAGCAACTCCTTCTCCCAAATCCTAAAAATGTTCTCCCAAAATGTCAACAAAAATGTTACAACTATTTGGTGATTTCCAGCTAGAGATCTAAAGATTTGAATTTCTAATTGTGGGTGGGGGAAAGGAACAGAAGGTTAAAATAACAAGGTTTATTTAACATGAAAACAGTTGTTATCAAATATGAGAAATTAATTTAGAAGATTTTCACCCACTTTCAAAAGTTCTTCGACTTACTCTTTGCGTTTTCTGTTTTGCGTAGATGTAGGGGCTTTGAAGGAAACCAAATGTCTGCTCATAAGATACAAATGCTGTGTGCAGAATTGGGATGAAAAAGCACGTGTCTCGGGGTGGAGGATAAACAAAATTGACAAATTAATCTGCCCCCAAAACAAGATTTGGGAGATTTTTAACTGGGAATTCTGCTTTGTAACATTAAACAGTAGGCTATATTGTAGGATTTTTGTAGCAATTTGTTCTCCATGCTACCCTTTGGCTTAAAAAATTGTAAAAATCCTGCAAGGGTTATTGCTACATATCAGAGGACTATTACGATTTCAAACCACATATATTAAATAGATTCTTCAGATGTATAGTATAGGAGCAGCAAACTGCGCTGGCATTTGTATTACACATAAACCCTTGAGAACAAGAGAAAAAAGTTTGTTCGTTTTCTTAAATGTATGTGCTGCCCATCTGGTCCAGAGGCAACTCTGGGCAGCTTGCTGTTTCTAATGAGAGGTTGGTTGAAAAACAATTATCTATTTTTTTTCTCAGCCTCATTCTCCAGAAGAGCAGCTTGAACAAACCTTGGGTCACTTCTCCTCTGCGTCCCCAGAATCATGTCTCGAAACCACACCTGTTACTGGTTCCCTTAAGACTGTCCCCATTCCTAAACCAAGGACAATGCATCCTGGCAAAATCGTTGAGAGGAGCAGCAGCAATGAAAAGCAAGCAACTACCTTGTCTCTTTTAGAGGAAAGTTCTCATATTCCTTCTCTGAATTTGACTCGGGCTCCAAGAGTTCCCCCTAGGAGAAAGAAGTCGGCTCCTCCTGATTTTCATCTGCAAGTACTCCAGAACAGCAACAATCTGTTTCTAAAAGGGCTGACATTCAATTCCAACAATAACAACTTTCCAGCACATTTTTCCACAACGCAGGATTTTGATGCATTTCCATCTTCTCTGAGTGAACCCTCTCTGCTTGCTTCGACAGTTGTGATTAGCTCAAAAGACAATGATGCTAAGCTATTGAGGCAGACTGATTTAGAGTTAGTTGGTGACCAACAGCCAACTCCTCCCTTACGGATTCAGCAACAACAGCAAGCTTCAGACAATCATTGTCCAATGGAAAACACCAATTTGTTAGACCTGGAAGTAGACTTTGTTGCTTGCCAGCCAGTGGTTCAGCCATTACCAGCGAATCCATCTCCTGCTTCACAAAATTTGAAACACTCCTGTCCAAGGGATTTCAGCCATTGGGTCACATTTGGAGAAGAAGGCAACAGTAGTACTATATCTCAGGGCTAATTAAGCTCTGATCTCAGTTTAAAATTATGAACTTATTTTTGTACTTTTTTCCTAGAAAAGCCCATTATTTTCTAAACTTTATTATAGAAGGAAATAAATTCAGCAAATCATGTACGGCAGCGGTCGCCAACCTTTGCGGCTTGGAGGTTGGATGGGAGAGGAGAACTGGGCCGCGCAAGTGGTGGCCCACTACGCACATTGGCCCATCACTTGTGTGAATGGAGCTGTGCATGCACGTGCTGGTCCGCCACATACGCAAGTGGAGCTGCACATGTGTGCTGACCCATTTCTCACATAGCCTGTTTCTAAATAGGCTACAGCCTGGTAGTGGGCCATGGCCCAGGGTTTGGGGACCCCAATTTATGGTTATAGCACTCATCTCTCCTCACTCCTCGGTGATTTCTGGTTTGAGTTTAATAGTAAATTCAATAACAAATATTTATCATATGCATGTGTGCTATAACGAGGCCTGCTCCAATTACTCTTTACTTACACTTTGCTCATTTCTGAATTCCATGCCACAGGTGGTTGCTTGCTCTAGTTTTTTACTGTAAAAAGATGGGACAGTTAATTCTGCTTTATATGCTAAGAGGTACTCTGTCATTCTTGACCCATCTACATGCTTAGAACCATGGTTCACAGCCTTAAATTATTTTTATCCTTGCAAAGTAGGAACAAATTTGCATTTCAAAAAGACCTGTTGGTAAGAGCAAAAATGATAATCTGATTCTGTCTAGTAATAGCTGTCCTCAATAATATAGAGGGAAGTCCAGGGTGGTTTTAGAAGTGGTGTGGTAAACCTGGGGCTGGTAATATCCAAAATACCCATTCAAGTTTAACCTGTGATAGAAAACCTTCTGGATATTAGAGATATGCCTGTATGAAACATGGAAATATGTACTCTGCGTAATGTGGTTATAGATCTAGCTTGTTTTGAATAGGAGCCTAAAGGGGTGAAGACGAGAGTTATTCCCTTACAGATCACCTCATAGGATAAACCATTGTTAATTTTCTATTACATAGGATAGATCTGATTTATTAATATGAATCCAGATTGATATGAATAAGAGTGTATTTTCCATGGAAGAAACTACCTAAATATGATATAGGTAGGAAATAACACAGGTACATATATGAGAGGCCTCTTCCATTTTTAGTATTTAAATCTCAAGTATTCTTAGCCTAATAAAATGTCCAGTGGATTATTGGGAAAAAAACACTAATTACTATGTGGACTGAAAGGCTAATATTTTTATGCACAATCATTTTACATCTTTTACAACGTAAAAGATGCAATGATCTAGCTTTACAGTTCAGGTGAGAAATGAAAATCTAGGATCTGATTTGTAATTTAATAGAGAAAAAATTACGTTGCTTTAGAACCACTAGTGTCGCAACGTATTGTGACTTTTTTTGCATTGCCGGAGCTGGGGTCAGCACAGCCAGGCCGGCAGCTTGACACCGCTGCTTTAGAAGAAGCAACAAAGTTTATGATTTCCTTTCTTCCTAGGGAGGGAATGCAACATGTATTTTTGGCTTTTTTTTATTCTGTTAATATTAAAAATGTGGTTTATGAAAAACAAGTCTTGGCCTATTCCTGTATAGGTATATATACTATGCATGGCTAAAGGTTAATTAGCTAACACGATGCTATTGTTTTTATTAAACAAATCTTTAAAAAAATAAAGTGCCAAATCAGATAAGTTATTGTGGTTTCCATTTCCCTGCATCAAGTCAACCATTATACTACTGTAAGCAACATTTCAAAAATTGAATCAAATATTGAAAAGGAGGGTACATAGCAATTGCTTACTAGAAGACATACTTTTATGCTCTCTAGATGGGTTGCCTGTAACTCCCACGATCTCCCTCTGGTTGTCGCCCTTGGCATGGGACAGCTGGTTAGGGAAGATTGCTCTAACCCTCCCCTTTAATAAGGAAACCACAAGCGTCACTGGTTATTTATGGCTGCATGTTAAGATGAAAAATGAACACCTATTAAAAGGAAGCCTAGTGTACTGTTACTGACGATATTCTCTGCCACATAGATAATTTAACAGCTTTGTGGCAGGTCATTTACATGCTAATAAAAGCATTTGAAAGCAAGTCAATTTAAGTGACTTTATAAATTGCAAATGAAAGTTATTTTTATTGCTCTACTTGAAGTGGTATCCGGCTTTCCGCACTACATTGTATAACTTGCTGCCTAGCGAGATGCCTCATTAAAACTTGAATCTTTCTGGTAACATACTCTGTGCAATCAATTGCAATTTATGCCACCTACCCTGAGCAAAAATGGAACAGGCAAATGTTGCAATAAATAAAAGTCCTGAGCAGTTTTTAAAAACATTTCTTCCACCGAGTAAAATATAACCTCTGAAAATGTTTAATAAAAAAATACTGGTTAAATGTATAGAAAGTCACAGGCAATGTCGGAAAGCAAAGCTGAATTTCAATTACTTCATTCAAGACCAGATCATAGTCATACCTTAATCGACTCAACACTAGTAGCTTTATGACGCTACTGAGTCATGTATCCATTTAGACACAGTGTTCATAGATTTGATATCATGAATAATTCACATATTGTTTACTTCGTTATGTATAAATTGCCTAGGATAGGTAACTTGTTAGAAAGTTTTATTCTGGAAAAATAATTTATGGTGGTTTTTTCCTAAAAGTGTAATGTTATAACGGTAGGTAGCAATGTAATGATCAAGTATTTATTTTTTATGTTTACGACATGCCCTTTTTTAAATCAGTTGCATTAGTAAAAAATAAATAAAGATTTGCCTAAAAAAGTATACCCAAAATAGTATTTAGTTGATAATCATACAAAAAATATTATAGTAGGTTAGACTATATGTTATTTGGGTGAGTGGCAATGTGAATGTATACTTCAGATGGTTCTGACAGTTACAGATGTTTTTGACACTAGGAAATGAAGCCAATTGATATGGATAACCATTTTCCCTTTGTCTAGAAAAGGAAGCTGAGTCGCAGACAAATATAGTGGCTTAATTTATCATTCTAAACCATAGCCAAGGTTTACCAAGGTTCCCTATAACCTCCACACCATGGTTTGTAACAGCTGACAATATCAGTTGTGACTTCCAACTCAAATAATTATGGCAATTGTTTTACCACTGGGATATTAAGCAAATGGAACATAAAACAGGACAAGCAATCTTCAGGAAGAATTTTTTTCATTTACATAAAAAAAATCAAGCCATAGTTTGGTTTCATGTTGGAACTGAACAACTGCTTTATACATTATATTACTGAAGATTCAAAATACTTAAATGGCACCAGCCAAAGGGAAGACTTTTCTACCCTCCTGGAGTGTTTTTCATTTTCAATATTGCAATATATATTTGGCAGGCTATTCAGATTACAATGAGACTGAATTTTATCTTCTGAATTTTGCAAAAATTTAAGCGGTAAAGACATAATTCCGATTCATCTCAAGTGAGTGCTCCCTTGACTAATCCAGCCTTTTATGCAGAATCAAGCAACAATCCTGAATATTTTTTACTTCATGAGGCATTTTGGTATAAACTGACCACAGGAAAATCTGTCATCATGGAATCAAGAAATTGCTTCAGTTCTTCGGAGTAAATAGTTATGGGCTTGTAATAGCTTTCCAAACACTATACAGTAGCACATTTACAGTATATCCTTGTTTTTTGTTTGCATCCAGCTGCAAATACAGGCTAGGGTGCAGATTCATTTGTCATTGCACATATTTTCTATTATATTTAAAATATCAGAATGTCCATAAAGAAGTTGATATCATGCAATGTGGGTATATAAGTACATCAGCATGGGAGAGTAGATTTATAGCATTAGTGCATTTGCTCTCCAGTATGCACGGTATATACAGGGTCAAGTGTCCCCACCCACCTAGCGTCAGTGACTGAACAAAGTAGTATAGAATAATCATTAATGGCATAGAAGCTTGCTTTCTATATTGAGCAGAGAATGAAGATCTTTTTAGGTAAAAAACACATGTTTACAAAGCAGTGAAAAGACCTAGGAGCTCAGATAACTGTTTTCCTGTCAAGCATTAAATGGAACTCAAAATGAACAAAAAAGCTTTGTACAATATACAACACCAGAAATGCACCCGCGGTTTGTCATTAGGCAATGTTAAAAATCAGCTTGACTGTAATAAAACAGCTGCCTTGCCAGTAAGGGCTCAGATTCAAAGAAAAGTTGGTGAATTGTTCCAGTAAAAGAACAAATATGCACAGTATTGCCATTCACTGATTTCCCAGCTCCTTTTTTAGAGAATCTTGAATAAACTTTAAGGTGTGTTGATACAGGAAAGAGTCTTTGTTCTTTGGTTTACAAATGTTGAGATGGCTAACTTCTACCTGAATGAGTTCTCCAATGCCTAAATCTGAAACAGACATGAAAACAAAGAGCATTAAAAATCACAGAAAAGACACAAGTCACATAATGACATTCAAGGGATTTCCCCTGCTTTCTAGGGTTTCTAGGCAAGATGGTAGCCTGTCTCTCTGACCTATCTCTGAATCAGAATCAATAACAAAGAAAAGATGATGTTTGAACCAAATTCTAGACTATATAAAAAACACCTAAAGTTTATTTTAGCTGGAGTAATCCATAAGCTGTTTCACAGGATGTCATACATAATTTATGCCTTAGCTGTTTGGGGAATATGTGCACTGGTTTGAAGTAACTAATTTTTTAAGCCCTTTCTACACAATGCATATTAAAACAAAAACTGCATCTTGTTTTCAGGTCAAACATACATACAATTACACGACGAAATACAGGTAATTCTCCACTTATAACCATTCATTTAATGACCATTCAAAGTTACAATGGCCCTGAAAAATGTGAATTATGACAGTTTTTCATGGTCACGTGATCATGAGACAGTTGGCAACTGACTCATATTTATGACAGTTGCAGTGTTCTGAGCTGATGTGATCCCCTCTTGTGACATTTTGACCAACAACCATCAATGGGGAAGCCAGATTCACTTAACAGCCATACTAATTTAAACAACCGCAGTGATTCACTTAACAAATGTGGCAAGAAAGGTTGTAAAATGGGCCAAAACTCACTTAACTGTCACTGAGCAAGAGAAATTTTGGGCTCCGTTGTGGCCTTACATTGAGGATTACCTATATCGGTGGTGACGAATCTATGGCACGGGTGCCAGAGACGGCATTCAGAGCCCTCTCTGTGAGCACGCGCGCCGTCGCCCCAGTCCTAGGCCTTCAGGTGGATTTTATAAAACCTTTTCGCTTTAGGCCTCTGCCGCCGTGTATATATATAAAAAAGGTTCAATCAATCAGTCAATTTCAATTTCTCGCGGGAAAAAAAAAGATCTTGCAAAGTTGGAATTGATTGAACTTTTTAGTCCCACCCAGTCTGCTGTTACCACCGCAGCCACACCCACCCAATCGGCCACACCCACCCGGCACCCGACGATGCATAAGTGGGTTTTGGGTTGCAGTTTGGGCACTCAGTCTCTAAAAGGTTCGCCATCACTGACCTATATAATATAAAAATTCCCACAATATAGAAAAGCCAGAAGCAATCACTTCAAACCAAGGGCAAAGCAAACCCTTCTGTTCCTAGCTGTTTCTAAAGAACTACATTGTGTTTGATAATACAGAAACTGTCCTAGTGAAAATGTTCAAATAATTAATGTCACAATACTTAAAATGTAAGCAATGAGCATATAAAGAAAAAAACATGAGTTAGCAAGTTACCTTGGGACCTGAGGTATAATGATGGTTGATCCAGTGTTCCTCAACTGAAAGTCAATCATTGATTTCTTTGGGTTTTTTTTTTTACTTTTTTCATTAATTCATTTACTTTTTGTTAATTTGTCTAATTTGGCCTTCCTTTAAGTCATTTGGCCTTCCGCTGCTAACATCGGATATTTTTGCTTTGACAACAGTTGGAGATGCAACCATTTTCTTCTTATGTTTTACTTTTAGAGTTAGAGCTAGAGTTAGATGATGCTGGGGGGAGGAATGTGCAAGAGAGTTCAGCTAGACTTAACAATGCTGAACCGAGGTTATTGAAATAAGAGATTATAAGAATTGGAGGGCTGGAGGACTGGAGGGAAAGCCTGCATTTCAAACTAATTGGAGAATGTTATTTATGACTGTTAATTGGAGGAGGAAATTGTGCTTTGATACTATGTGCTCAGGGGAGGGGAATCCAGTTTGTGCCTTCGACTGTGTTAGTGCAGATGCTATGCTTCTCAAATAAAGATTCTTTAAGGTAAAAAATGTCTCGAAGTTGTTTTGAAGAGTTTCATCTGTCGGAGCCATGACAACATGTGGACTTCAACTCCCAGAATTCTGAGAGTTGAAGTCCACAGTCTTAAAAAATGCTGAAGTTAAGAAACACTGCTATAAATGAGTAAAGCCAGATAAATTTCCGAAGGGGAATGCTGGGAATGTCAAACCTGCAGATTCCACTGGCACGACATGCAGACTCAGCATTCTGCCAACTCGTGTCGGCAAAGTTTCCGCAAAGCTTAATACTGGAAAGTTCTGATTCTTGGCAAATGAGATGAAGTCATCATTCAGTGCTTTAAGGGCAGGCGAATCTGGAAAAAACACAGAAAAATGAAGTATTGATTTCTTATTTTAGACATTGCATTTCAGGCAGAGGTATACATTTGCATGTAATGTTTTTCATATGGAAGATGGATTTCAGTTAAGAAAGGCGCATCTGCGGTCAATATATGCAAGCAAGGCTAGGTAGTATCACAGCCGCTATTTGTTCTGGTGAAGTACATGTAACCCTTGTCTTAAACCAGAGGTCTCCAAACTTGGCAATTTTCAAGACGTGGACATCAACTTCCAGAATTCCTCAGCCAGCCCTGGGTGCCTGAGGAATTCTGGGAGTTGAAGTCCACAAGTCTTAAAATTGCCAAGTTTGGAGACACCTGACTTAAATCATTCATTTAGGGACCATTCAAAGTTACACCATCACTGAAAAAAGTGACTTAAAACCAGTCCTTGCACTTAAAACCGCTGCAGCATCCCCAGTTACATGATCAAAATGTGGATGTTTGGCAACTGGTTTGTATTTAAGATGGTTGCAGCATCCCAAGGTCATGTGACTGCCATTTGCAACCTTCTCAGCTGGCTTTTGACAAGCAAAAATCAGTGGGGGAAGCCTGATTCACTTAAAAAATGCATGATTCACTTACCAACTGCAGCAAAGAGGTTGTAAAATCAGGCATGACTCACTTAGCAACCTCCTTGCTTAGCAAAGGAAATTCTAGTCCCAATGGTTATAAGCATTTCTATGTGTTGCTAGCTTCTTACTGAAAATAAACAAAATGGCCCACCTACAAAAGTTCTATCTATATCAAAGTCTAAGAGTTATTTTTCTATCCAGGAATGCAAGAGAAAGAAAGTAGACCAGGCGTCTTCAAACTTGGCCCTTTTATGACTTGTGGACTTCAATTCCCAGAATTCCTCAGCCAGTATGCCTATGGAGCTATGGAGCTCTAGGACAGAACTTCCTGTACACAACAAATTGGGGTAGGTGGGTGGGTGATGCAAAACCACAGCTGCTCAAAGTTGCCTTGAGTTTAAATTTAATAAATAAATAAAGGTAAGGTGTTACGAAATGATTACACTTCAGCTAAGTTTGAATTGAGGATATGTCTGAACTCAAAATTCCCTTTTGCATTTCTATTTAATATCTGTTTCACACATTTCCTGATGTGGCCTGGGAGCAAATATTGGGATATCTCAAATGTAAACTGGCAGGTCCTGAAAGCGAAGCTAAGGGA